ATGTCCCGAGGTAACCCCGTCGTGTGCCTCCTGTAATAGTAATTCCCGTAGCAGAAGTACCCTGGTACCCAGATGCGGTCGGTCCCGGCTTTTACGTAATAGACTCCCTTGGTTGCTGCGAACTGCTGCGAATTTCCTCCTGTGAAGAATGGGTCCGTTTGATATCCGTGGGTAAATAGTCCTGTTAGTAGCGGGCTGGTCTGGGCGAGTAGTATCGCGTGGATCTGGGCAGTGGGGCGGGTCAGTGCGTCGGCGATGTTCGAGGCTCCTTTTTTATAGGTGACTGTGTAGTGGAAGTTTGACTCGAGGAAATCGAGCCACCGAATCTGTCGTGGGTTGAGGTGGGGCTGTGCGCGGAGGTACTGTAGTGATCGGTGGTCTGTCCGTACTGTCACGTCTGCGCCGGTCAAGTAGCAGCGCCACACTTTGAACGCATGCACGATCGCGAGCATTTCGCGGTCGTGTATCGGGTAATCTCGCTCGGGCGGATGCAGTTTTCGTGACTCGTATGCGATGGGCTGTAGGCCGTTGCCGAAGTCCTGTAGCAGTACGGCTCCAATGGCGATGTCGCTTGCGTCTGTAACAACCTCGAAGGGGCGGTGTGGGTCGGCGATGCGCAGGACGGGCGGTGAACAGAGAACATTTTTCAGGGCAGAGAAGGCAGCATGCTCTTTCTCCCCCCACGTAAAAACGACCCCCTTTCGCAGTAAATCCGTCAGCGGGGCGGTCAACTGTGCCATGTCGGGGACGAACCGACGAACATAATTAACGAACCCTAAAAAACTCTGCAGTTCCGTGATGTTCGTCGGGGGACGCCACGCTTTTACCGTATCCAGCTTCTTTGGGTCGATTTCAACTCCAGCCTCCGAAATAACGTGCCCCAAAAATTCTAGTCTCTCCCGAAAAAACTCGCACTTAGAGCCCTTGGTGAGTAACCGATGTTCCTCTAAAACTTTAAATACTGCTTCGAGATCCGCTAAGTGCTGCTGTTTGTCGCGACTGTAGACGAGGATGTCGTCGAGGTAAACTATCACGCATTTATCTAAGAGTGGCCTAAACGCCTCGTTCATGGTCATCTGAAATGTTGCGGGCGCGTTGGTCAGCCCGAAAGGCATCACCGTGTACTCAAACGACCCGTACCTAGTCCTAAATGCTGTCTTGGCGCAGTCCGATGGTTCGACCCGAATCTGATGGTAACCCCCCCGTAAGTCTATTTTCGAAAACACCCGTGCTGTTCGCAGTTGGTCGATCAGTTCGTCGGCGCGGAGAATGGGGTACCGCGACTTGACTGTTACCCTGTTGAGCGCTCGGTAATCGATGCACATGCGAAACCCTCCGTCTTTTTTCGGTGTGAACAGTATCGGTGCGGCGAACGGTGACGAACTTGGTCGAATAAACTGCTTCTCTAACAAATAATCTAACTGCTTCCTCAGTTCGTCGAGCTCGGGCTGTGTCAGTCTGAACTGACGCTGTACAGTTGGCTGTGCCCCCGGTTCTAACTCGATCCTATGATCATGCGCCCGCTGAGGTGGCAGCCCTTCCGGTAAGTCGTCTGGAAAAATCCCCGGGTACCGTTTCAACAGTTCCTGTAGTTCGGGCGGTACTGCTGCCAACAGTTTCTGAAAATCGCTCGGCTGCTCCGCTTTTCCTACTAATGCTATATCTACTGCGTACACGTCAGCTCCAGCGGCGACAACCCGTTTCATCGTGATGGCGTTGACGTGGACCGTTGAAGACTCGGGCGACTGCCAGCGAGGTAGCATGACCCAGTTACCGCTACTTCGCACAGTGCAGCTACCCGTCGTCCAGTCGATTCGTGGGTTGTACCGTCGTAGCCAATCACGTCCCAGTAAAACATCATGCCCATCCAATGTCGTCGCTAGCATTTCCTGTGTAAACCCGAAGTTTCCCCCGCAGCGAAACTTTTACTCTCTCCACCTTCTCCCGTATGGCCAGCGGCGTGCCATCAACTAAGCGTGCGTCAATCTCAGGTAAGCAGCGACTAAGTGTCAGTTGTAATTTTCGCGCAGTTGCGGTATTAACTAAACTGTGGCTTGCTCCTCCGTCAATAAAAATCTTCACTGCTGCTCCCTGTATTTTCCCGTGGATCAGTACTGGGCAATCCGTCGTTGTACCCTCCTTATTCATCCGAGCCCGATCGATGGCGTGAATCGGTACTGTGACTCGGTGAGGGTCGGTGCGGTTGGGCGAGCAGGCAGTCTCGTCAGTAGTTGGCCCAACTTCTACTGACTGCTGGCGTTTCCCTGCCTCTGAGACTCCCTCCCCTGCTCTGCTCCGCGGCGCCTTAGCTCCTCTGGGCATTCGCTCTTGCGATGGCCCGGCCTGTTGCAAGCAAAGCAGCGCCCCTTAAACGGTGCGGCAGCTGCATTCGTTGCAACAACGTTTACAGTGGCGTGCTCGATCGGTCCCCGAGGACGATGTCCGTAGTAGGACCCCGGTCTCGGTCGGCGTAGAATGTCGATTTTCTCGGCGAGCGCGAGAATCTCGTTGAAGTTTGAGAGTCCGCGCAGCATGATTTCGTGCGAGATATCCGGCTTCAGCCCTCCGACGTAACGGTCCACCCGCTCCGCTTCGTGCATGTAGCCGACCTGCTCGCAAAGTGCGAGAAAACCGCTCGTGTAATCTTGAACCGACCCGAGCTGCCGCCAAGTGCGCAATCTCTGACGCGCCGAAATAGAAGCCGCGATCGGCTCGAAGCGCGCCCGAAGCCCTGCGCACCACGCATCCCACGTGCTGTATTGGGCGGTCTCGCAGAATGAACTCCAGGTGACAGCTGGACCCGTGGGCCCTTCCTCTTGCGACGGTGGCTCGTAGGCGCGTGGCGACGTCACGATGACTCGCCACCAGTCCATGGCGGGGCCCCTTAACAGCGAAACAGCATACCGAATCTTCGCTGCGTCCGACTCGACGTAATTCGCGTCGAAGAAGACGTTCATCGTGAAAACCCACGATTGAACCGTCGGACCTCCATGCTGGCTCGGGTCGAAACAGGGCGGGCGTTGCGGCTTGAGTGGCATTGGTGCCATGATGGCCTGTTCGCCACTTGTCGCCGCGAACTCCACGTGCCGACGGGCTTCGCGAGGCTCCCGCGGGCTTGGCGCGCCCCTGTTTCCTCCCATGCCAGGCATTGGTTGGGCGACGCTATCACTGGCTGCGCCCGAGCGCTGTCCCACGCTGTCGTGTTGTGTTGGTGTCCCGGACGAGATGACGATTGGCTCGTCCGATTGTGCAGGTGCATTTGTTGGTGCGTGTGGTGCTGCTGGAGTGTTCACCGTTGATTGCTGACGCGCGGAGTCACGTTCCGCTGTGAGCATCGCAATTTCGAGCGCCGAATCTTCGAGTTGGCGCACCAGACGGTCGAGCTGCTCCTGCGTCAATGTGGCGAGCGTGAATTCGGCCATGGCGGGGGTGTCGGGCGAGCTCAGCGAGAGCCTCAGTCGTGGCCGTGCGTGCTTACGAGAGAGCACTACGAGCGGCGGTGCTGTGTCGCTGAGAGACGTCTACCCCCCCCCAAAAATTGAGATAGTGGGGAAGCGAAGGTGTGGGTGCGGTCCGAGAAGAGATCGTAGGCTCTGAATACCAAGTGTTACGAGTGCAATTGAGTGAACGAACGAGAATTGCACTATCGAAGCAAGAGTACAATGAGCGAAGGCATGAGCGAAGAATATATAGCGAAACTACAGTGGTAACGGTAATGGACTGTGGTTGTCGCGCGACGGGCCTGGGACTGAGGTTGGGAAAAGTGTCGAAGCGGAGGCCCGGAGCGCGGGTTACCCGCCGAGCCGTGAGGTTGGGGTGCGACGTGCGAAGGTGGCGGGCGGATTGTTGATGCGAGGATTGCGAGTGGTAACGGTGCTGACTGTGGTGCTACAGTGATATACGCGTTGAGCAGGGACGCGAAGTAAGGAAAAAGAGATTTTCCTTACAAAAATAACAAAATGCCTAAGAAGCTCGAACACAACAGCAACTATTTTATTCAGGGAAAACATGTCAATGGTAACTTACATGGGGCATTATAACGCGTACGGTAACGATTTCAACGCGTTTGGTAACTCGCTTAACGCGTTTGGTAACTCGTTTAACGCGTTTGGTAACTCGCTTAACGCGTATGGTAACTCGCTTAACCCTAAACACAGGCGAGTGATCACGCGAATGGTAACTACATGAAACTCCCGCCGAAATGATCCTGAAACCGAGGAATTTATTGAGTTTGAAAGCTTTTACCATACGCGTTAAGCGAGTTACCAAACGCGTTAAGTGAGTTACCAAATGCGTTGAAATCGTTACCGTACGCATTATAGTGCCCCATGAAAGTTACCATTGACATATTTTCCCTTTTATTCATTTCAGCAACACCAGCAACATGTAAAAATATACATCTTGGATTGCATCATTCCCTCCCAGAAACCATTATCTCACATTTCCCAAAGCAGACGTCATACCATTGTTGCATCACTCATCTCTTCTTGGGCCACCCATCGAGCTACAGCTACCTGGATCGAAGTCTTGAAACTTCTCACAAAACCCCATCGCCAAGAAGTTAAGGTGCTGTGCGCTACAAGCCGAAGTGGCACGAAGGCACCAAACCCTTTCTTGAACCTCAATAAATGGACTATGCCATTGAACACTGCCACAGCTGTACTTTCTGCTGCACTGCACTCGCTTTGTCTGCACCAACCTTCAGGACCCTCTGACGGTGGTATAAACAAGTGTGATTGTAATGAGGCCAACATATTTGATTGTGCCCTAATCAAACTCTTAAGACACTCTACGGGGTTGGTGGTGTTGGGAAGCTGCTTACCAATGAGGAGAGATGCGTCATCAAATACGGTGTTTAGTATGAAGAAGGGGGATGAGGCGAAGGGGAGGGCGTATTGGGGAAAGAAGCATCGCCACCGCTCAGACGCAGGGGTCACTGCAGGCAGGGACAAGGAAGAGGCAGAGAGATGGGTGGAAGGGAGTAGTTGGTCTTCGCACTACTAGTTCGTCGTCGTCGGTAAGACGCTCTGGGAGGCAGGACGTGGGGAGAGAGGAGGGACTTTTTTGAGGGGGCCTGAGATGGAAACAATAGGAGGGAATAAAATCAGAGGGAATAAGTTCAGCAAGGAGAGGACTGTTGGTGCTGCACAGGCATGCACTGCAACATGAGAGCAAGAGGGCCCACCTCGATCGCAGCGGGACTGCGGCGAGAACTGGTGCAGCGCTGAGATCTGCTGGGCTAGGCTCTGAAAGTGCATTCTCCCCGTGCGGTCTGGGGCGTCTGTGAGAGGGGGGAGGTGGGGGAATGGGGGGGAGAGAGAGGGAGAGCGGGAGAAATGAAGAGGGAGAGGGGTGTGCGTGCGATAGGGTGAAAGGGGGGGTTGTCAGAGATGGGTGTGAGGCCAGCGGAGGGTGCAGAAAACGGAAGGGTGATGGCACCTACTGGACAAGAAGGAAAGAGAAGGAGAATGTACCGGGGAAGAAGGAGCCATCGAGGAGGCATTTGACGGTGGCGCGGGGGAGCAGAGTAGCGAGGGAGTCACACAGGCGCATCACTGCCAGCCCCCCCGCTGACGTCCCCGACACCAGCACCGTTGTCGCCCTCGCTATTGCTCTGTTTGCTAGCAGGTCTGATGCGGTCGCAGAGGAGGCATGAGTAGGGACAGACAGAGAGGAGGCACAACGTGGGGAAACAGAGGAACCGAGAAGGGCAGGGACGTAACACTCAGCAGGAGATGTCACAATGGACAAGTAACTCCGCCAATGTGGGTTAAAGCTCAAGGCCCAAATTGCAGAGCGCGCGGGGCAAGATTACTAAAGTTGATGAAAGTGATGTTTAGAGTGTTGTTTGGCTGCGAATTGTGGTTACGTGAAGTGCGATGCAATTTGATTGGCCAACAGTTTTTTTGTCGAATAGGAGAGAAGGAAACACCAAGAATATTGTGAGTGCAATTTGGGACTCGAGATCCAAACCGAGTTTCTCCCTGGGGTTTGCAGAGTCAGCGAAAAGCCTAAGGGTGTAGCGAGAAGCTGGACGAAACTAAACAGCCCAACTCCAACAAAGTCAACCTTACTCTCCCACCACCCAAAGGGCAACCTTAGTAAGGTTGAAAAATTTGGGCCTTGAGCTTTAAGGAGGAATGGTACGTGACTAGGTTGGGAATGCCACGTGATTGGAGGGCCAGCCATTGCTGAAACAAAAAAATGATTGTTACAAAAGCGCCAACCATACACATTTCAAATCACACCATCCAGAACGGCACCAGCACCACACGCAGCGCACCTGCCACCAGCAGCGCTATCGCCTTCCCACGCAACGCACATCCCAGACAATCAAGCACATGCCAAGCAACGTACCGTCCATGATAGCGCTGGCGATCCTGCTGCCATCCATGTGCACGTAGCGCCCCTCCCCCACGGCCACGCGCCCGGCTGCTCCCGCATAGCCGCCCCCATCGCAGTAGACAGCCATGGCCAGGTGCCACCCCGCAAAGAACGGGTTCAGTGCCGCACTGCTGCTCAGAATGCCCAAGAATTGACCCTGTGCCCACGTGCCCTGGGACGAAAGGGGAGAGTGTAGAGGGGGGGGGGTGTCCGGGGGGAGCAGGCAGGGTGACATAAGCAAGCGACTTGTGGTTCTGATTATCTGCTGGCGGAACTCTCCTAAGAAGAGAACCACTGTTGGCAAGATACGTATCTCCCACTCACGTTGCTGATTCTTAAGCCTGTGCTTTTGCTGCCAAGGTGGCTTTTTGAGACGCCTCAAAAGTCACCTCAATGTGACTCCCATCCCAATCACGTTGTCGGATCATGTGGCCACATACTGGTGCTGCCAAGCTGCATCCAGGCTCGAATGCGGCACTGCCCTCTGATGCCGCACCACCCGCCGCCCGGTTTAGTTTTGAGACGTCTCAAAACTCACTCACGTGATTGGTTGTCGGCCACATGCTGGTGCTGCCGCTCAGCTCCATCCTGGCTCGCATGCGGCACTGCTCTGCGCACCACCCGCCCCCTCCCGCCCCCCACCCCGTGATTTTTCAATCGGCTAGAAAATCACCTCTCGCACGGATGACTCCGCTCACGTTATTGGTTTCCGGCCACATGCTAGTGCTTCCCAGCTGCATCCCGGCTCGAATGCGGCACTGCCTCTTGTTGCCGCACCACCCGCCGCCCGGAAAGTGGATGTGCCACGTGGAGGCGCCCTTCCAAGGTGCCTCCCGCAGGTAGTACCCCGGCGGGCTGGGATAGATGCGGGGGAGGGGGGGGTGAAGCGGAGAAGGGGGAAGTGGAATAGGAGTGACGCCCACGGGGTGTGGCGCCCTTCCAAGGTGCCTCCCGCAGGTAATACCCCGGCGGGCTGGGATAGATGCGGGGGAGGGGGGGGTGAAGCGGAGAAGGGGGAAGTGGAATAGGAGTGACGCCCACGGGGTGTGGCGCCCTTCCAAGGTGCCTCCCGCAGGTAGTACCCCGGCGGGCTGGGATAGAGGCACAGGGGGGTCAAGCAGAGAAGGGGATGGGGGAAGTGGGATAGGAGAGATGGGGAGTGACACCCTTCCAAGGTGCCTCCCGCATAGTAGCCCAGCGGACTGGGACAGATGCGAGGGGGACAAGAGGAGGCGCGGGGGAGGGGGAAGAGGAATGAGGGAGACGCGGACTGTAACACAGGTGCCGCTCGCAGGAATACCTGGGTTTAGGTTTGATACCCTCCCCCATTTCACGCTCCCCGAGCTCATGATCCCCTGCGGACTGGGACAACGTGTGGGGGAGCATGGGAGTAGGGGGTGAGGAGGATGGGGAGGGAACGGGGGGGAGAGGACGGGGAAAGAGTTTGAGAGCCCTCAGGAGTCACATAATGCCCCGGGGGACTGGGACAACTTTTGAGGCGCCTCAAACGAGCTTGAGACCCATCAAGAATCAGGTAGTTCCCCCGGTGGGCTGGGATCGATGTGTTGTGGGGGGGGGGGGGGGGGGGTAGCCACGTGATAAAATAGTATTTTTGACGTCTCAAGAGTGTAAAAATTATGGCTGAGGGAGCATATCTGAATGTGCATGAATGCTCTGTGAGGGGCATAATTCCCGTCTCTGGCGGTATACAGGACCCAGCAAACGCTTTCCACTCCATACCTCCCATCCAGGCATCGCGCTCCGTATTTATTTTCCGGAAGAAGAACCAGCGTGGCGGGACGTGGATCGCTCGTTACTCGTCGCGCCCTTCCTTGCCGCAGCGCGCTCAATCTTGGAGGGCACACCGCTAGGAGTGCCAAAAGCGCCACGGCGTTTAGCCATGCCACGTGGACGGCTGGAGTGCGAACACGACGGATGGTTACTAAGAATCCTCGCATCGAGATCGACGGCCACGGAATCCCGATGGAATTTAAGAGGCGGCGAGATGATTATGCCTTGGGCATGCGAGATATGGCGACGGAAAAAGGAAAGAGACGACAGAGAACGAGGTCATAAGCGCTGCGACCCGTGATACGGGAGAATGAGGAAAACGATTGGCTGCGGGAAACGGGTGGCTGGCTCCAAATTACGCGGTAGGGGAATCGTGCAGCACGGCACGGGGTGAAATGACAAGGCGAGGTGTGAGGAGATTGGGCCCTCGACAAGAAGCTATCGCCGAGTCTTCGGGAGAAACCATTGAAGGGGAGGCGTAGGTAAGGCCATGGTGGAAACTGGATCGTCTACTATGGCGACTAGCTCGGCGGGTAGTTAGCGACATGCTGCGGTTGGTGGCTCCTGCTGAAACAGTGTTCCTCTCTGAACTCTATTGGCTGGGTGTCTCTTCTCAGCTGTCTGTGTTGGACTGGACCGCGATTGACAGCATAGCTGCGACATATGGCTGGGTGTGTCAAGTAGGTTTGACCACGTTCCTAGCTGGCTAACGGTCCTTACTGTGCCGCGATTTTCGCTAACTTTCAGCTTGAGTTATTTTTCTGGGGTATTCTTTGGCTCGAAGTGTGTCGAGTCGCCCAAATTTCTTCTAGTAACTTACTCATCGCCAGCACTGGCGACAATCGCCTGGGTAGGCGGCGAATGAACGCGAGGGAAATGTGGAAATGCCAATTTACAGGGAACGAGATGGCGGATTTGCAGCGCCAGATGGCGCTGGCTCTCGCAAACAAAGTTGAGAATCGCAAGCGACAATCGCCGTCGTTTCGCATACCAAACTCCAGGAGTTGTGAACGAAAAGCTCCCGTCGTTCGCACTGCCCGTTGGCCACAAAATGCAGTTCATCGTTGCATAGTTGGTCACCAACATTCTGTCGCAATGGTTCGTGAACATCGCGGGGAAAGCAGTATTGAAATGGTGATGCAATGGAAGGGCAATGAAGGTTGCATATGAAGAGGACTGCATTACTTGTCCCAGCAAAATGTTGAGGGCAACATACAGGTAACTTCTCCCAGCAGAATGTAGATGGTGATGAAGGTATGAGCACATGCAATACAAGGGCTATTCTCAATGTAATTGCAGCATAATGTAGAAGACTACAAATTTTCTCATTGCAACCACAATCATACATCCATGAGCTTATTTTCTCAAATGTACAACACTGAGGAATCAGTACTCCCCAGGGCCATCCATTGAGCTACAGCAACATGCACTGGAGTCCTCGCAACCTTCACCACACTCCACCGCCATGAAGTGGCGATGCTGTGTGCAATAAGCCATACTGGCATAAATGCACCAAACCCTTTCATGGACTGTACTACATCAACTATGCCACTGTACACTGTTGCAGCTGTGCCCTGTGATGCACTGCACTCTCTTTCTGTGCACCAACCAGCAGGATCCTCCAGAGGTGGAAGAAATGAACGTGTTTGTAATGAAGCCAATAAACTGATCTGTGACCGGACTAATCTCTGCAGGCAGCCTAACGGTTTGGTGGTGTTGGGAAGCTGGTTACCAATCAGCAGCGAGACTTTATCGAAGACGGAGTTTACGATGAAATAAGGGGAAGAGGCAAGGGGGAGGGCATATCGGGGAAAGAAGCATTGCCACCGCTCAGACGTAGGGGTCACTGCAGAGACGAGGAGGTGTCAAGGAAAGGGTGAGAGAGAGTAGACACAAATACATGAGAAATGCTGGGATGGTAATTTGGAGAAAAAAAAAGGATTGCCATCACTGGGCGCAGCAGCAGCGAGACATAAAGCGGCAGGAGGCAGGACACAGAGGGAGTAGGGACAGATGAATACGCCGGGAAGAAAATTACGCGTTTAAAGGTGATTCAAGCACCGAAATTGCATCAGGTACACCGGCATAGACCTGAGCTGGTTGCATGAGAGCAGGAGGGCCCACCTTGATCGCAGCGGGACTGCGGTGAGAACTGGTGCAGCGCTGAGACCTGCTGGGCCAGGTGCTGGAAGTGCATTCGCCCCGTGCGGTCCGGTGCGTCTGGGGGGGGGTGGGGAAGGGCGGATAAGGGAAAAGGATGGGAAACGGGGGTTGACTGTGGGACTTCAGGAGTGGGAGAAAGAAGGAGAGAGTGGGGTCTGGGGGGTGCGAATGCGGGATGGTAGGAGAAAATGCGGGAAAGGGGGAGGATGGTGATAGTGAGAGTGCAAGAGAGCAGCGGGAGGCGTACCGGGGAAGAAGGAGCCATCGAGGAGGCATTTGACGGTGGCGCGGGGCAGCAGAGCAGCGAGGGAGTCACACAGGCGCATCACTGCCAGCCCCCCCACTGACGTCCCCGACACCAGCACCGTTGTTGCCCTGCTCAGCGCCCGGTTTTCTAGCAGGTCTGATGCGGTGAACAGCGGTGAGAGAGTCGGCACAGGGAGGGGAAGATGGAGAGGAGGTGTGATTCGGGGAAGGCAGAGGTGCGGCATGAAAAGCGCAGACGGAGAAAGAATGAAACTCACGCTCTGGCTTGTTTCTCCAACTACTAGGTGACTTTGGTTCTAAGATACTTTTTGCTTCTAAGAAACTCTGTCCCACCACACACTTCCCTTCATCTCAAACAACGCACCATGTAGGATAGTGCTGGCGATCCTGCTGCCGTCCATGTGCACGTAGCGCCTCTTCCCCACAACCACGCGCCCGGCTGCTCCCGCATAGCCGCCCCCATCGCAGTAGACAGGCATGGCCAGGTGCCACCCCGCAAAGAACGGGTTCGCCCCCTCGTTGCTGCTCAGAATGCCTTGGAAACGGCGCTGCACCCACGAGGCCTGCGGGAGGGAGAGAGTGGTGGGGAAGTTGAGGGCGCACGGGCGGTCGAGAATCTTGAGACGTCTCAAAGCTTCACTTCTTTCGCACGGCAACACTCCAACTCGCTGGAAAACTTGTGATAGAAGCCAGTCGCTCCTTTTGATCCGCATCACTCTATTTCGGGCGCAATTGTTTTTTCCTCCTAGAGGCTTGCCGCTGCCCGAAATATGCCAAAGACAATGCAAACCCGCCGACGGAGAGGAGGAGAGACTGGGTGGGTGATATGAAGAGCTGAAGGGGAGGGCGAAGGAAGAGCAGGGAATGGTTAAATGTTCGCATGCAAATAGGGGACAATCTTTTTGAGAATTACCACAAATAAATTGAATACAGATGCTGGGAAACAAATATGTCCGAGCACAGATGACGGGAATGATTCCACTCACGTTATTGGTCGGTGGCCACATGGTGGTGCCGCCCAGCAGCTGCCCGGCCCGCCTGGCGCACCGGCTCTTGGTGGCGCACCACCCGCCGCCCGGAAAGTGGATGTGCCACGAGGTGACGCCCTCCCCAGGTGCCGCCCGCAGATAATACCCCGGCGGACTGAAACCGCAGGTAATACCCCGGGGAGGGTGGAGTTATGGGGGAGAGGATGGAGAAGGGGGAAGAGTGGTGGAGAGGGGAGAGTAAGAAAATCGGGAACAGTCTCGGAACCTTCTCTCATATTGGTGCTACCACACTCACTGTTAGGTTCAGAGGCGCAGTGAGCGGCATAATTCTCGTTTAGGATAGATACACTGAGGGTCAAGAGGCGGAACCTGCAATAGAGGGCCATCTCCGGCCAGAGAGGGGACCTGGTATTACCAGCTAGTAGCAAATATTTCCCCGTGCCGCATGGTACCTTCCGTCCAGGCATCGCGCTCGGTATTTATTCTCTGGGAGAAGAACCAACGTGGCGAGACGTGGTTCGTTTGCTGCTCGTCGCGCCGTTCCTCGCCACAGCGCGCTTGATATTGAAGGAGACACCGCTATGAGGGCCAAAAGCGCCACGGAGATTCGCCATGCCACGTGGACGGCTGGAATTCGAACACGACGTCTGATTTCTAATAATCCTCGCATTAAGATCGACGGGCACAGACTCATGACGAAGCGAAGATATTTGCCTTCACTATCTCGAGATAAGGCGACGGAGAGAGGAAAGAGGCGACTCAGACTTAAAGGTGAAAGGCGCTACTGTCAGTGGTATGTAACTGTACCTGTGATGGCCAGTGATAGCCTCGCATCGAATTGCAAGAGCTTGAACGGTACCGTACCTGTAATGGAAAGCATCATGTTTTGCATGCGCTTATTCACGCTGCAGGGTGGAAGTTTGAGGTGAGGATGGGAGCTTGCGGCTCGACCGCTGCCGTGCCGCCGAATGCTCGGACAGACCGCTGAGAGGTAATCGTACGTAAGGCCATGGCGGAAACTGGGTCGTCTATAGTGACTAGCTTGCCAGGTAGTTAGCGACACGATTTGAAGTTCAACCAAGTTGGTGGCTTCCTGCCGAGCTGTGATCGTCTGAGACTCTATTCGTTGGGTGTCTTATCTGAATGGTCCGTGCTGGACTTGAGATTTGACACGTAACTGCGAGATTTGGCTCAATTCTATGCAAGTTGGCCTGGCTGGACACCTCGTGCCTGAGGAGCAAGTGGGTGGTCCCTCATTGCACCGCGATGTACGATATTAGTATACAATGAGGGGTGAACTTTCTTTTCTGGCCATATTTTGGCTGCAAGTGCGACGGGTCGCCCATTTTCCATGCGATTCGGGAACATGCGCGTCACAAAAAATGTGCGAATGCCGATTTACAGGGAATGACACAGCGAGCACAAAACGTGGCGGATTTCAGCACAAGATGGCGCTAGCGAAAATCGGGAGTGGCGATCCACGGCACGCTTTGTTTCGCATAGCTCGCTGGCCAGAGCATTCAGTGGAGCTGGTCACCAACATTTGGTCGCAATGTTTCGTCAATGCGGGGAAAGCACGGGTGATGCAGCTTGTCCACCGGTAGCGGTATTAACATTGTAATAATAATGACCACATATTGTCCAGTGTTCCCAGTGGTTGGGATCGTAACATTTGGTGATGGTCAGAACAGACTTGAACCCTAAACCTTCAACCCTTTTCAAGCGTAAAGCATTGGTGGATCAGTACTCCCCCATGCCACCCATCGAGCTACAGCCACATTGATATGAGTGCTGTCAACCTTCACTGCACTCCACAACCGTGAAGTTACAGTGCTGTGTGCAATAAGCAACACCGGCACAAACGCACCAAACCCTTTCTTTGTCTTCACTATATCGAGTATGCCACTGTACACTGCTGCAGCTGCACCCTGTGCTGCACTGCACTCTCTTTCCGAGCACCAACCATTGGGACCCTCCAGTGGCGGTCGAAACGAACGTGATTTTAACGAAGTCAATAAATTCGGCTGTGACCGAATCAGTCTAGTTAGGCAGCCGACAGGGTTGGTGGTGTTGGGAAGCTGGTTACCAATCAGCAGCGAGACTCTATCGAAGGCAGGGTTGACAATAAAGAAGGGAGAAGAGGCAAGAGGAAGGGCGTATTGGGGAAAGAAGCATCGCCACCGCTCAGATGCAGGGGTCACTGCAGGCAGGGCGGGGTGTGCAGAGGGACAAGGGAGTTCTGAGGAGATAGGTGGCGGGAGGCGACGCAAAAGACATGGGATAGATGGACTGATAAGACAGAGATATAGTGCGAAGCTATCTTGGGATACGACTGCTGGTCCCGGCAGTGGCAAGGTGTTAAGTAACGGAGGGCATAGAAGGAGAGACGGTTCAGAGGGAGGAAGAACAGCGGGCAGAGAGGGGATACAGTGGGAGGGGAGAAAAAGAGGATCAGAACAGCGCCAGATACAGGCAATGAGCAGGCATAGACTGTGAGTGGTTGCATGGGAGCGCGTGGAGGGCCCACCTTGATCACAGCGGGACTGCGGTGAGAATCGATGCAGCGCTGAGACCTGCTGAGCCAGGCTCTGGAAGTACATTCGCCCCGTGCGGTCCGGTGCGTCTGGTGGGGGGGGGGGGAGGAAACAGTTGGGAGAGCGTAGGAACCGGGTGGAGAAATTGGGGTGGGAATGGGTCAAGGTGGGAGAGAGAGAATGGGGGAAAGGCAGATATAATGGGGGCAGGGAGGAAGGAAGCCAATGGTGGGAGGGAGGTGATGGTAAGTGGAGGTCAGTGACCCAGGAAGTACAGAAGCGGCACTTACCAAGAAAAAGACACTTCTCCTTCTAAGTTCTCAGTGGGAAGCGAACAAGAGGTTGCGTACCAGGGACAAAAGAGAAGGGGAGCGAACCCTGGAAGAAAGAGAAGGCATGCGTACCGGGGAAGAAGGAGCCATCGAGGAGGCATTTGACGGTGGCGCGGGGCAGCAGAGCAGCAAGGGAGTCACACAGGCGCATCACTGCCAGCCCCCCCGCTGACGTCCCCGACACCAGCACCGTTGTTGCCCTTTCTATCGCCCGGTTCGCCAGCAGGTCTGGTGAGGTGAGCAGCGGTTGGCGGAGGGCCAGGAGAACGGGCAGAGGGAGAAGAGGTAGGAGAAAGAGCGGTGGGAGAAAGGCAGAAAGTCACTGTCATGCATGCTTCATCAAGGTACTGGCAGGTGGCTGGCGGCTCTGCCCCCAAAGCACCACGCATCCCAAGGTAACGACTTCAAAGGGACCAGACATCCCTAGCACATTCCAAAGCACCACACATCCCAAGGTAACGACTTTTAAGGGAACGAACGACTTGAGTTAGGAGCGACTAAAGGGACTCCCACACGTCCTCATTACAGCATATTCCAAGCAACGCACCGTCCATGATAGCGCTGACGATCCTGCTGCCATCCATGTGCACGTAGCGCCCCTCCCCCACGGCCACGCGCCCGGCTGCTCCCGCATAGCCGCCCCCATCGCAGTAGACAGCCATGGCCAGGTGCCACCCCGCAAAGAACGGGTTCGCCCCCTCGTTGCTGCTCAAGATGCCTCTGAAACGGCCCTGCACCCACGAGGCCTGGGGGAGAGTGAGAGAGAGCGCAGGAAAGAGTTGAGGCCGAATGGGAGATTGAAAATCATGTGATGAAGCCAGCAAGTCCAATTGGCAATGGTCCATTTCAAGCAGCAATGGTTGTTTTTCCCTAAGGGTTTGCTGCTGCCCGCAATGTTCCTAAGCCAAGGCAGCCTGGAGAGACCGATAGGGTGGTACAGGGGGTTAGGGATTGGGGGTTGGGTTGGTTGAACCCTTTCATGCAATTAGAACATCCTGATAATGATCAAAAGTGAACACTTCTCAAAGCGCAAGTGGCGGAGATAATCCCACTTACGTTATTGGTCGGCGGCCACCTGGTGGTGCCGCCCAGCAGCCGCCCGGCCCGCCATCTGCACTGCCTCTTGTTGCCACACCACCCGCCGCCCGGAAAGTGGATGTGCCACGAGGTGACGCCTTCCCCAGGTGCCGCCCGCAGGTAATACCCCGGCGGACTGGGATGCATGAAGGGGGGACGAGCGGAGAAGAAGACAAGCCGAGAAGGGGATAAGGGGGAAGCGGAATGAGGGAGTGGGGGAGTATAACCAGTCTAGTCCTGGCAATATGGTGGTTGGTGGAAAGCTACAAGATGTGCACGCAGCTCTATTACGAAGCACACCTTGAGGGGGACAATGATTGTACCAGCGATCTCAACAGCGCATGATGCTTGACGGACGTCACTTTTTTTTTTTCTGTAGAAGCTTCCACTCCATACCTCCCATCCAGGCATCGCGCTCCGTATTTATTCTCCGGAAGAAGAACCAGCGTGGCGAGACGTGGTTCGCTCGCCGCTCGCCGCGCCGCTCCTAGCCGCAGCGCGCTCAATTTTGATGGACACACCACCAGGACGAACAAAAACGTCACGGCGATTTGCCATGCCACGTGGACGCCTGGCCTTCGATCAGGACAGTAGAATTTAAAGCCTCGCATCACCGAGATCGACGGGTAGAGAGTCATGATGGGATTTAAGATGCGGCGCGAAAAGTTCGCCCGGTAACAACGCGGCTTCAGCATGCGAGATCAGGCGACGGAAATTTGAAAGAGATGACCGCGAAAGAGGCGATAGGGGAAGAGGTGATAGGGCAAGGCGGTAGGGGAGGTGTGAACCGTGCGGTGAAAGGCCAGATATGGAGATGAGGGCTGGACGGGCCGCTGCCGAGGACAGATCGTCACAGGTGATTCGTGAGACGATCGGCATGGTGGAAATCAGCTGCCAATAAATAGGCGATTCCGCAGCAACTAGCTTGGCGAGTACTTAGCAACACGTTGCGGTTAGCGGTTGTGCGCCTGAACGCTATTGGACACGCGTAGCTGTAGGATTGGCTGAAGTATCCAGCAGTATCAGACACTTGATGACTGGCGGTCCTTCCTGCGGTGCGGAGTTCCCTAAGCGGTCTTCAGGATAATCCGAATCGGGCGACAAAGTCGAGAAGACAGGTGCTGCAGCGACAACAGAGGTTGGCGCTGGTCGGTTTTTGGCAGCCATTACTTTTTACTTCTGACAGGCGCGCAGGGCGTGTGCGAGGAGAGATGAACAGCGATACCACCTGGTCGCCACTTATTTCATCCCCAAAAACGATTCTATTCAAAACCCGAAACATTTTTCGGCAAGATCAACGAGACACCAAGAACTAGGGGCTATGTTATATGCTGTCATTTGTGGATGCGCAAAACTCTCGCTACTGTACCGATAGCAGCGCATGGTCTAGATGTTTACTTGAGAGTCATTTTCCGTTGTTCCAGGGAAGGTGTCCCTAACATACCCTCTCATATTTCGGGCTGTCCTAGAAAGCCCGGAAGACCAAGGGTTGTTGCCGATGGGTGTGATATTTAGGCCTTGAAATTGTCGGTGACCAAGAGTATGTGTAATGGTTTGGGAAAAGCATGCAGGGAGACTGTGTGCTTGGTCAACCGCTGCCACAAACTGCTCTGGTTTGGACGGAGTATGGTTCGTCTAGTGTGAAATAACTTTCAAGATACAATCAGGGGCGTTGATGGCGCTTGCAGCGACGGCAAAAGAATGGAAGGAAGTGATTGCAGCGGGGAAAACGGCGGAAAAGTTGGTGGCAGTGGCGACAGTTGTCAGAACTTTCTTACCACGGACACAGGAGTACCTTTACGGGAAGGTAAAGGGGGTGGCGGAGGAGATGGTAGCAGTAACGAGCCTGGAGGTAACGAAGGACGGGAAGCTGGAAGAATGGGAGACACCGGTCGGGGCGACTTTCAGGCCAAAGCATGTGGAACCGGTAGCCACCAGGGGCGGCAGGGTGCTGGGAGCGATGGGGGCCCCGGCGACACGGCTCATGCAGACTAAGTTGCTAGATGATGACGGGGCGCCGGCGAAGATTAAAGTAATTAGGCGGGTGCTGGCGGGGCCGGTGACGACGTCTTGGAAGAGGAATGAGTGGGAAGCAGCGTGGGGGAGGAAAATAGACTGGAGAAAGGTGGAAAGCAAGAGGGACTCGTTGGTGACACCCATCAGGGCAAGGGATGTGCTGCTGAGAATGCACAATCTGAACCTACAGGTGGGCGGCAGGCTGAAATTCTTGGGGGAAAGGGCGCGCTGTTCACATTGCGGGGAGCCTGAAACCCTAGAACATTGCATGTTCAGTTGCCCGCTGATCCAACCGGTGATCGGCGCGCTGCAGAGATCTTTGCAGTTGTTGGGCCAAGCGGGCAACCCGAACTCGCTCGGTGCGCTGCTTTTTGATGAGGGGGGCACGAAGTCAGGGTTTCCTGCGTCAACCTTAGTGGCCACAACATTCCGCCACATCTGGCTGGCGAGATGTGGCATGGTCTGGAGGGGGGAAGTTTTTCAGCGGAAGAAGGTGGCAAGAGGGGCAATCAGAGATTTCGCGCTGCATGCTCAGGTGTATCGCACGGAGCTGACTCGGAGAGCACGCATGTCAGGTACAGCGAAGCAGGGGAAGGACCCGTGGCGAGATCTGAAGGGTGACGAGAGAGCGGCGGTGGCTCTACTCAGTGAGCCAGGTGAAAAGGCCACGTGGAGCGATAGGTTTCTCTCCATCTGGCGCAATCCCAGAACGATCAGGCAGCCCCCGTAGAAGCCTCATGGAGGGGTGACCCCGGTAGTGGCACTAACATGTTGGTACCAGGGTAGGTCCTCTCCAGAAAATCAGTTACGACTGAGGATGTATGCGCTTTTATAGTGTAATAACATTCAAAAAAAAAAGATACAATCAGCATTTTGCATGAACCAGACTCCTACACTGCTGATAAGCTATTATCGAGGATTCGCTCTGACGGGCCGCACAACCTTCCAGAAGTCGAGCCAGGCCTGGAGGAGGTTGTTGTGTGACCTTGGCTTGGTGCTTCGCGCCAACCGAACCTGTAAATTGCCCGTCTTCAACTGTGGAGTGTCCTCCTTCCACCAACATCCCTCCCCCCCACCAATTCCCCTTTCCGTCGGGGAATTCCCATGGATCTCACCGTCACCCTCTCCCATCCCATCCCACCGCACACATCCACTGTCCTTCCTTCCAGCTTTTCGGGTCATAGAATGTGACTTGCAACTCGAGCAGCAACTCCAGGCGTCACGTCAAGACCTTCTGTCCACACAGCTCCGCAAACTGCAGCGAGAGGCTGGCCATCTGCCTGCATTCTGCCTCGTCGCTGCAACCGCGGAAGCTTTGACTGGACGCCTGGTCGACTAATTAAGGTTGTCGCTTGTGCCGCTGTTCGAACTGAGGCAGTCACAGAGGCTGTTGGACCAATCAGTTAACAATCTCGCGTGGTGCTCGGCCGATTTAACCGATCGTATCCGCTGATTTTCTGGACGTTAGACTCTCTCTTCGCGTCTCGAACGTCATGACGACTGTGGCAGTGACACGTGGCGGGCCTCAAGCCGCAGTAGCTCTAGCGGCCTGGGCGGCGGCCGGTACGGCCTGCCTCGTGTGGGCCCTCCGCGGTCGTTACTTGCAGGTTTTCCTCGGAACGGATCCCGAGAAAGGCGGTGGAAATGGCGGGAATGGAGAGAAGGAACGGCAGGGAGTCACGCTGACGTCACTGAACCACTTGATCGCGCTGACGGGTGACAGCTGGCACTCCTCGCTACAGCGGCTCGCGATTGGACAGATGGTTATCGGCGTGAGTAGTGGCAGTAGAACCAGCCGACAAGTGTGCTAAGGAATGTAGCTCGTTATTCGCGTGAAGCCTGACCTTGAATCAGGACGACATATTATGTCGTCCGCATCTTGTTAGATGTTTGACGATGTTTGACGACAGTTTTTCTTATGTCTAACGCACCCTGGTGGCGGCCCTCCGGAAAATCATGGGCACGGTGGAAAACTAGGAGCATCAGACGACTATTCAGGCAATCTCAAATAATCGCTTCGCGTGCCCGACAGGCGATTTACGAGTAGCATCAGTGGTCAACATGTCCGGGCACAAATTCAGAGCACTTCTGCCGTTATCCCTCCTTCCCCACATTTCGCATCACCGTTCCCCTCCAGTTGAAGCTCACCAACGAGCCCAGACTCGCCGCCATCCCCTCGCCGCTGCCTGACTCGCTCGCCATGCTGGCATCTCTGCGTGACGTGGACCTGTCGGCCAATGGGCTTTCGACATTCCCCGACGCCCTGCTGTCCGTTCCTGAGCTCAAGAAGCTCAATCTGTCAAGAAACAAACTTACGAGGTGAGAATCGGGATGTTATGAAGCTCGTCGAATAGCTTAATCACAAGCGTAGCTCAAGCAATCTCAGAAGAAAACAGGCGCTTTTGTTGGAGCGATTGTAAAATCCCCGGGTCTCTTAGTGACTTTTGAGTCGACGTGACTTTTGAGTCGACTCAAAAGCAATTGTAAAATCCCTGGGTCTCTTAGTTCCCTTCCTCTTGCTTTCTCTTCCTCGTCCCTTCCTTCCCTCTTCCTCTCTCCCTCCTCCCTTCCTTCTCTCCCCAGCTCGCACAACCACGCGTACTCGCTAGTTTTGAGGCGCCTCAAAACCACGCTTACTCGCCTTCAACATCCTCCCTCCATCCCCCTCCCTCCGTCCCTTTCCCTCCAATCATGTCCCTCCGATCCACTTATCCACTCTCATCCCCTCCCCATTCCTCCACCCCTCCTATTTTCCCCACCCCAACCCTCAGTCTTCCTCAGCCAATTCGCCGGCTCTCCCACCTGGAGCACCTGGACTTGGGCCGAAACCACCTGTCAGGTGTTCCTGAGGAGATCGGGCACCTGACGAAACTCCTGACGCTCAACCTGATGTGCAACCAGTTGGAGAGCCTACCTGACAGCATCGGGCGGCTCACGAGGGTTTTCCGCCTGGGACTCAAGAGCAACAGGCTCAGGTGCGGTTGCAGGGCGGTTAGGCTGGGTGCAGCTTTTGAGGCGCATAAAAAGTCGTCTGGGACTCAAAAGCAACAGGCTCAGACCAGACAGGTGCTGCCTAAAGTCCTACAGCTCATCATTTTGAAACAACCATCTTGATTTCTGCCCTTTCTTTGCTTTCCCTTGCCGTCCATCACCACCCAGCCACCGTCGCCATGATCTCTCTCAGGTGGATCTCTACCTCAGAAAGGGCGGCCTCCCCGCCCTGCCCAACCTGACAGCCTGCTGTCTGTTCCCGCCTTTCTGTCTCTTCCCGCCCATCAGCGCCCTGCCCTCGTCCATAGGCGGCATGACCTCTCTCGTGGAGCTCTACCTCACACTCACAGACAACCGCCTCACTGCCCTGCCGGACTCCATCGGCTGCTTTCTGTTCCTTCCCTCCATTCATCTCCCCTCCCTTCCTCCTCCTCCTCCCCATCAGCGCCCTGCCCTCATCAATAGGCGGCATGACCTCTCTCGTGGAGCTCTACCTCACAGACAACCGCCTCACCGCCCTGCCGGACTCCATCGGCTGCTGCACCAACCTCGTCAAACTTCAGGTCAGCATTCTACCCACCCCCGAACCCTGACCTTCAGACTCAGAAAAGAGTGTGTACAGAATTTCGTATGTTTTTCGTCCGTTTTCTCTCCCGCTCTCTCTGTGCATCGACACGCCTCTTCCAACCATCGGCCATCTCTCCCGTCTCGAGCTGCTTCGCCTTGCAGCCAACAACCTGCACGCCCTCCCCTCCTCCCTCGCCCTGCTGCCTCGCCTGGCGTGGCACTTAACCCTCACCTGTTCTCCCCCTTCTCACCCCTCTCCCCCCCGTTCCTGCTCGACAAGCATCCTTCAACCAGTTGTACGCCCTGCCAGACTCTATCGGCCATCTCTCCCGCCTCAAGCTGCTGCTTCTCGCACCCAACAATCTGCACGCCCTCCCCTCCTCCCTCGGGCTGCTCCCCCGCCCTATCACTCACCCTTCACCTGCTTTCCCCCTTCCCCACCCCCGCCGTCACCAGGCCTCTTTCAACGAGCTGTACGACCTGCCAGATACAATCGGCCATCTCTCCCGCCTGGAACTGCTCCGTCTCGCTGCCAACAACCTGCACGCCCTCCCCTCCTCCCTCGCGCTGCTCCCCCGCCCTATCACTCACCCTTCACCTGCTTTCCCCCTTCTCAACCCCCTCCATCACCAGGCCTCTTTCAACGAGCTGTACGCCCTGCCAGATACAATCGGCCATCTCTCCCGCCTGGAACTGCTCCGTCTCGCTGCCAACAACCTGCACGCCCTCCCCTCCTCCCTCGCGCTGCTCCCCCGCCCTATCACTCACCCTTCACCTGCTTTCCCCCTTCTCAACCCCCTCCATCACCAGGCCTCTTTCAACGAGCTGTACGCCCTGCCAGATACAATCGGCCATCTCTCCCGTCTCGAGCTGCTCCGTCTCGCAGCCAACAATCTGCACGCCCTGCCCTATCACTCACCCTTCACCTGCTTTCCCCCTTCCCAACCCCCGCCGTCACCAGGCCTCTTTCAACGAGCTGTACGCCCTGCCAGATACAATCGGCCATCTCTCCCGCCTGGAACTGCTCCGTCTCGCTGCCAACAACCTGCACGCCCTCCCCTCCTCCCTCGCGCTGCTCCCCCGCCTGGCGTGGCTGTCCCTCGCCAGCAACCCTCTCTGCCCGCCTCTGCCGCCGCACCACGAGGGCGTGGAGGATATTCCCTTTGGAGACCTGCAGCTGGGGAGGAAGCTGGGCGACGGCGCCAGTGGTGAGTCTCCCTCCCGCCTCCTCGCCCTCCCCTCCTCCCTCGCGCTGCTCCCCCCCCTGGCGTGGCTGTCCCTTGCCAGCAAAACCCCTCTGCCCGCCGCTGCCGCCACACCATCAGGGGGTGGAGGACATTCCTTTTGGGGAGTTGAGGCTCGGGAGGAAGCTGGGTGACGGTGCAAGTGGTGAGTACCCTCTCTCCTTGGGTCTAGCCCTGTGTGTGGGCCTTCCCTGCTTTGCCTGTGTCTGCCTCGCCCTCCCCTCCTCCCTCGCGCTCCTCCCCCTCGCCAGCAACCCCCTCTGCGCCCGCCGCTGCCGCCACACCATCAGGGGGTGAAGGACATTCCGTTTGAGGAGTTGAGGCTCGGGAGGAAGCTGGGTGACGGTGCAAGTGGTGAGTGCCTGGGTTCCCTCACCTTCCCTCCTCGACCCGCTCTGCCCGCCGCTGCCGCTGCAGCCCTCCTTCCGTCCCTCCGCTTGCCTTAACCTCCTTTTCCTCTGCTGCCCACACCCTCTCACCCTCTCACACGCCACCAGGCGACGTCTACGCGGCGGTGTGGCACGGGCACGAGGTGGTGTTCAAGCAGTTCAACAGCGAGACCAGCCCGGATGGACGTGCAGTGGATGAGATCGCCATGACTGCTGCTGTCGACCACCCCCACCTCGTGCAGGTGCTGCCTGGGGTGGTGGTGGGGGGATGTGGGGTGGATGTGCATGTGCATGCATACATGAGTGCATGTAGATGGCCCGGTGGTGCTGCTGCTGGTGAGTGGGCCAGCAGTTGGCAAGATCGCCATGACTGCTGCTGTGGACCACCCGCACCTCGTGCAGGTGCTGCCTGGGGGAGGTGGGGGTTGCGTGCTGGTGGGGGGAGGGGTGCGGTGGAGGTAGCACACCTCCGTGCGTGGGGAAGGGGTCTGCTGGTGTAGTAACTGCGTGGGGGACAGGCGTGCAGTGGATGAGATCGCCGTGACGGCTGCTCCGACCACCCCCACCTCGTGCATGCAGGTGCTGCCTTGGGGAGGGGGTAATAATGTGGGGGGGTAATAATGCGGGGGGGTAACACACATACATGGGAAGGAAATGCGGCAAGCTGCTGTGCTGCTCCCGTTGTGCTCCACGCTCCCATCCCCCCAACCCTACACTCCCTATTTCACAACCCCTCTGTTTGTGCCAACTCTTCCCATCTCACCCGTCTTCCCACCCTCTACTCCCACCTCCCCCATGTCTGCCTGGCAGGTCGAGGCAACAGCGGAGCAGCCGCATGGGCTGGTCATGCGGCACGCTCTGCTCATCTTCTCCTCCACACACCCATTCCCCCAACCCTTCTCACTCCCCTCCCCACTTCACCCCCCTTGTGTTCCTCTCCCTTCCTCTCACCACCCCTGCCTGGCAGGTCGAGGCGACAGTGGAGCAGCCCCACGGGGTGGTCATGCGGCGAGTGTTTGGCAGGTGGGTGGGTGCAGGGGAAGGTGGTCGCAGGGGGGATGGGAGGTGGGCGTGAGGGGAGGTACAGGGGGGCTGGAACGTGGGGTGCAGTTTTTTTGTTTTTCTCGCCTCTCTCCCCTTCCTTGCCTTCACCATTACTCCCTCCAATCAACTCGCTCAGGGCCATGGCTGATCCCCCCAATGGTGAATCGCTGCTGCGCTGCCGCTGGCCTCCCACTGCCTCCTACTCGCTCGTCACTGTGATGGCCGTGTGCCCACATCACATCCTCCCTTCCACACCCTACAACCCCTCTCCATATTTCGCAGGGCCATGGCAGATCCCCCCAATGGTGAATCGCTGCTGCGCTGCCGCTGGCCTCCCACTGCCTCCTACTCGCTTGCCACAGTGGTGGCGGTGGGGAAGGGGCTAGCATCGGCTTTGGAGTGGATGCATGCGCGGGGGTGGGCGCATGGGGACGTGTATGCTCACAACGTGCTGGTGGACGATAAGGACTATGCTATCCTGTGTGACTATGGTGAGCTGCGACCCTGATAAGCTGTGACTTTAGTGAGTTGTGACTTATGACTTGTTACTATGGTAAGCTGTGACAGTAGCGTTCCCAAGAAGGTGGGGGCTTGCTTTGGCTTTGGAGTGGATGCATGCATGGGGGTGGGAGCATGATGACGTGTATGCATCCTGGCAATGTGGGGGGCGCTTCTGAAACAACTGCCTCTCCTCCCGCTCCTTCCTTCCCTACCCTCCCTTGTATCACATGTGCAGGAGCATCCTTCCCCTACCCTCGCCACAGTCCCATCCCCTTTGAATCACATGAGGTGAGGGCACTCGCCCTGTTGCTCCAGGGCCTCTGCACGCGCCTCTCAGCCCCCGAGACCACAGCAGAGCTTCAGAGCCGAGAGCAGCTGGGGCGGCTGATCGAGACGTGTGTGGGTGGGACTGCAAAGGAGAGACTTAGTTTTAGAGATGTTGGTGAGCAGCTGGCTGCTATTTCCAGGAGCCATGTGTGAGGGTCGAGAGGTGATGTTTGGGGCTGTGAGCAAGAACTGATAGATGCAAGGGAGATTGCTTAGACTGGGAATCTGAAAAGCACTTCCTACTGTCACCCGGACACTGAGTGTGGTTTGCATTGAATAACAGCAGCTGAGAGGGGTCATTCAGTGTTTCATTTGTCGTGAAGCTATGAGCACTGTAGTCCATGAAACCATGGGTTCCTTTAATAACACAAATTGCTAACATATACAAATATCGGAAGCGGGGAAAAATGGAGATGCAGTGTACGTTCTTTAGGCAAACATGGCCTCACTGCCGCATCCGCGATAGAACAGCTGCGAGTGGTGTCGCTCGTGGCTGAAAACAAACGCATCCTCTTCCACCCCATGCGACGAGGCATGCCTTGGGTATACCCTCACGCCAGTCGCATAAACATCTTCGTTACAAGCATACACCCTTGGGTCGTCGTGTACACCCGCTGAAGATTCTGGTAGCTTATTTCGGCGAGCGAGAATCTGCGTATCCGTGTGCATCACCGATTTGTCATAAAGATTGTTCCAAGCTTCCTCCTCTTGATGCTGGCCGACAATGTCGCCGAAACTCTCGCTGATGTGAACGATCTTCCGACCAGTGTTAGCCTTTCGAGATCTGAAACTCCATCCTTTCAGCAGAGGAAGTTTGTCCAGTAAGGACGGCTTGGACGATGCTCGGCGGCCCGCTGTAGTTGGCTGTGCCAGAGAATCGAAAGACCGTCTTCCGCGAAGGTGTTCGTTGGAGGAATGAGGGGATTGCTGCTGATTGTTGGGTGAGCGATTGTCGGTCATATCCTCAAAATCGTCGAGCTGTAGGTCGTGAAGGCGAGGGGAAGGGAAGGGAACGACAGGGCGAAGGCATGTTAGGGTCTGTGTGACAAGATGAGAGGATAAAAGCTCGGAAGTGGAAAAAGAAAATGGAACCGGGGGAAAATGACGTCAAACTAACCTCTTGGAGAATAGGGTTCGCAGGTCGGCGAGTGTCGGACGTGCAAGTGGTTTGCATTGTGTCAATGGTCCCCATTCCCTCCATTTCCTGCCACGTCTGAAGCCGCGCGCCACCGTCACCATTATAGTGACTAAAACAATACGGAATTTGAGTCGCACCGTCGCTGACGGTGGAAAGCGCGGGAGAATAGGGCGACAGCGGCGAAAGCGGCGAAACGAGACCGTAAGATCCGAGCGATCTCTGTCCGTCGTAGTAGTTCCCGGAGTTAGAGAGTACATCATTAGACTGAACCTCGGACCTCCAGTCGCCAGGGCCCAATCCGTAGTCCATTTGCGGAGCGATGAAACGATCTTGGCTGGACCCAGTGGTCCTATAATATGGACACTCGTGTGACGTCACGCCGTGAGAAGGCAACGTCAGCGACTTCTGCAGCGCCCTATAGGGAGGGATTTGGCAATCTGAGCACGTCGAATCAGAAGCTTTCACCTCGATTCTTGCCGCCGATTGCGGACGGTGCGTCTCGGCGACGAGATAGTACGTTCGGCCGGGTTGGAGGGTCGCGGCGGGTGGCAAGGGGGTGCGCGGCGTGGCGGTGCTGAGGGTGGAGACGAGCAGGTGGCGGGGGAAGTCGGCGAGCACTGTCGCCGCCGTGAGACGCGCGTCGTCGTAGAGGCGCGCCGAGCCGTCTGGGAGCAGCACGACGACGCACGGCGGGGTCAGGGAGAGCGAGACCGATTCGGCCTTTACGACTTGTGACATGCTTGCGATGACTTTAGTGCAATATGATACTACGAGGCACTACAAAATTTTGTTTAAGGACTCTGTAAGCTGGATAGACTGGAAGGGTTCGAAGGTTTGGCACAATGAGAGGGACAACTTGATGTTGTGCCGGGAAAAAACGACCTTATGTAGCGGATTAGAGCGACTCGGCTCTCCAAAAGACCGCGTTGTTGTGCTGAAGCTCAGGGGTCAAGACCAGAGCCCCATATTACCTTAACTCTCGATATTACTGTACTTGTAGCTGTATTTTGCTAACGATCGGTTGGCCCGGCGAGGCTTCTTACGACACTCGTGGCGGAAATCACGCGGCGATTTTATTCGAAAGTGTGTGGGGTCCATTCAGCGGTTACGCGTTCTACTGTAATCGCTTTTGTGGCAAAATGAGTGCGCCACAGGCAGCCAGCTCAGTGACGACGAAACGCACCGCACCAGCAGTTTTCTCGCACGCAACAGGCCCCTCGCAGAGTCCTTAGAACAAGACTAGGGAAGGGAGAGAAGGGAGAGCCTTGCATAGTAGAACTGGCGCGTAGCAGCAGTGCTGGTTTGTCGCACGCAATCCACTGGAGCTTTGTCGCCATCGGTTCTTCAGCTCAAATAACGGTCGCACAGATTCGCGGAACTCGCAAATCCCGCGTTTGCCTTCTGCTTTCTGACGGTGAATTGTCCTTGATTCAGACGTGTCAGTCGGTAAGTGGATGACTGCGAGTTCTTCTCGGTCGGTGCCGTGACTTTCGATGGTCACGAACAGATAAGAACTGGTGGTCTGTCGATGACCATCGTCGATGACACGTTTGCAACGTATACAGGATCGCTTGCTCTGTGTGGTAACATATGCGACACGGCTTTATACTGCACGCACCCAGGCTTCAACCAATCAACGTGGGAAGAAAACATTTTGAAAACGAGAGCACGGACGATGTTTCGCACAGCTCTGAGAATCCGTGTTACAGTGCGATTTGACGCATATAAATCAGCTCACAACAAAACTGCGACATCACGAGCATCAGTGTACACTTGATTTTTTCAAGTGTTGCCAGACCGACCCAGAAAGACAACATATCATGTACAACATGCAAATATAAGTTCAACAGGGTTTAGCCAAACGTCAATAACGCTTCAGCCATAGATGGTCTCCTTGTAGCACTTGGGATAAAAGGCCTGGGAATAGTACTGCTCATAGTCTGAAACATGAGGTTCTTCTAGTTGAGATGAAATACGTCTTGGAAATACCCTCCTTTGCAGGCGACTCTCAGCAGCAACAGCAGCAGCAGGAGGTATAATCGCACTAACAAGTTCTCGAGTACTGTCCCGGCGAACCTGGATCTGCGTGTCCGTAAACATCACCGATCTGTCGTCCACATTGATCCAAGATGTCCCCTCCTCTTCACATTGCCGTAGCATCACAGTCTGCTGCTTTGCGCCAATTATGTCCTCGCGAAGGCCTGGAGCCTCGGGAATGCCGATGGGGATGTTTTGCTGGCTGTGGCTCTTGTTCATCTTCCGACCCGTGACGCCTCTGCTCCTGAAACCCCATGATTTCAGCTGAGAGAACTTGTTGATCATCGACGGCTTAGATTCATACGCCGGCTTAGATCCATTCGCCGATGCTCGGCGACTCTCAGTGATCGGGCCCGCCATGGTTGACTGGGAACGCGCGACGAGAGAAGAATGTCGGCCTTGGTTACAGTCCGCGGAATCATAAACCGTCAAGTCATCCAGGGCTTCAAGCTCTTGAAGAATTCGGTTGGTGGTAGTAGTACGTCCACCATCCTGTCGCCGCGATGGGATCACACGCGTTCCGGCACGCAGCTCGCACGTGCTTGTGGTTCTTGGAATGCATCCCGTCTCCTCCACAAGTGGCAATCCCTCCTTCCACGCCTTCGGAGGAGAGCTGCGCGATTGACCGTGATGGCAACCCAGCGGAATCCTGCCTTCCGAGATAGGAGGAGAACAAGGCGACAGCGTTGACAGCGGGGAAACCGGGCAGAAAGTTCCGGGATGTCGCTGCGCGCCCTTCACCAATTTGCTTCTTGGGTCTTCGCCCGAAACCCACTCCGGAATTTGCGGAGGGCTCCGAGGCGACTCGGCTTCCGAAACATGATGGGGAGAACAGGCAGGCATGCTGGTGCTAGGAAGGGTTTGCGACTTGCGGAACAAGCTCGGCGAGAACTGCGACGACGACGGCGACATTAGCGAAGAAACTTCCACCGTCACGCTCGCCGCCGATTGCGGCCGGCGTTTCTCTTCAACGAGGTAGTACGTTCGTCCGGGTTTGAGCAGCGCGGCGGGTGGCAAGGGGGTGCGCGGCGTGGCGGTGCTGAGGGTGGAGAGGAGCAGGTGGCGGGGGAAGTCGGCGAGCACTGTCGCCGCCGTGAGACGCGCGTCGTCGTAGAGGCGTGCCGAGCCGTCTGGCAGCAGCACGACGACGCACGGCGGGGACGGGAAGACGACCGGATGGTTGGACGGAGGCTGTGCCATGTTGGAAGTTAACGAGCGCGGAGCGGGATCACTAACTCGTGATCTCAGTTGAGCAATAAGAACCGGGGCTTGGTTTTTGAACGAAGCGGGGCTAAGAAGACGAGCGGGGTTTCAGGAGCTGGCTTGGATTTTCTCTGGCTCGCAGGATGGTCTTTGTTGATGTGAAACAATCTTCATTGGCTGAAATATGGGAGCTGTTGCTGACAACACTCCACGACGAAACGTCGTGATGTGATTGGACGAACGAAAGGAAAAACAAGGTCAACCGAAGACGCTCCCGTCGCTAGATCGCAAGCGGTATGCACGAAGTATGGACCGCATCTTTCGAAGGGGCACGCAACGGTTCGAGTCGCGTCGCCTAACAACAGACAATCGAAGCAGCAGAGCAGACACTCACTCACCCCGACCATTCCGAGAGGGAATCTAAGTCTTGTTGTCAGGTTCGCTACTTGGCAGTCTAAGTAGTGGAAAATCTTCCTAGAAAGTGTCGTCAGCTTGTCTTGTGCGGAGAGCTTTGGATGGAGAGGAGCGGAGTGGAGCGACCACACACACATTGGTCCTCTTGTCGCCGAGCGTGGTTGCGAATGTCGCAAACGGTTTATGCGAAACACTCTCAGATACCACAATCTGGTCTTGTTGTCGCCAAGCGTCAACTCGAAAAGGTCAGCCTAGTCGCCTTTTCCATAGGCGAATATCCAACTCATGGCAACCATACACCCTTTACGTCGCCAAGGGCGCTCGCCACTGTAAAAATGTTCGTTGAACGAATCTCGTCAATGGCTTCTCTTGTGAGTGGCAAGAGGGAAACTGGCATGGTCTTCACACACCCCGGATAACCAAGCTAGTTTCTGGTGGTCGCACATCCTCGCTACAAAGCTGCATGATATGATCAAGTATTTACTTCGAAGTAGAGTTGGGACATATGGAACATTAGAGTAAAGAAAACGAGCTCATATTAGCTATGCAGTTAGAATAAATATGCTATTCAACCAAATATCGGCTCATTGTAGCATCTGGGATGTAAGGCCTGAGAGTAGTAGAGCTCATAATCTGAAGCGTGGGGTTCTTCCGCTTGCTCCGGTTGCCTTCTCGGGAATACCTTCGCTCCAGCGCCGATCACGGCAGCGCGAGTAGGTGTATCCGCGCTGACATCTGCTTGAATAACATTCCGGCTGACCAGAATCTGCGTGTCCGTGAACATCATGGTTCTGTCGTCGAGATTCTTCCAGAAGGCTCCCTCCTCTTCCCAATGGATTGGTGTCGCCATGTGATGCCTTCCGCTGATAATGCTTCTGCCGAGATCTGGAAATTCGGCCATACGGACGGACATGTTCTTTTGGGTCTGACTCTTGTTCATCTTCCGACTCGGTGCGCCTTTGCTCCTAGAACTCCACGATTTTAGCTGAGGGAGTCTGTCAATTATGGACGGCTTAGATAGGCTGGACGGTGTTCGCCGAGTCGCTGTAATGGGCTCTGCCGAGATTGCTGAAGGCGATTCGAAAGGAGACTGATGGTCGCGAGTATCGTACGCGGAATCATTGGTCGTCATGTCGTCAAGAGCTTCGAGCTGCAAACATGGCATGGGGGAACAACAACGGCGGTTAGGGTTTTCGTTTTATCGTAATAATGTGTCTGGGAATAAAGAATAAAACGAAATCAGAAAGGCTGGGTAGACTAACCTCTTGGAGAATGCGGTTGGCGGAACGTCCATCGTGTCGACGCGATGGGAGAACACCTGCGGTCGAGTCATTGTAACCCGATTGCGAAATCCTGCTCCCACGAAGCTCGCACGTGCTGGTGGTTCTCGAAATGCACCCCTCCGCGACTCCATCATTCCACGCCTTCGGGGGAGAGCTGCGCGATTGCCCATGATGATAATCCAGCGGAATCGCGCCTTCGGACAGAGGAGGAGAGTAAGGCGATAGCGTCGAAAGCGGGGACGCATGCAGGATTTGCGACTTGCGAAACACGTTCGGCGAATTTTGCGACGACGATGGCGATGTTAGCGACGAGATATCAACCGCCACTTTCGTCGCCGCTCGCGGACGGTGCGTCTCGGCGAGGAGGTAGTACGTTCGTCCGGGTTTGAGCAGTGCGGCGGGTGGCAAGGGGGTGCGCGGCGTGGCGGTGCTGAGGGTGGAGAGGAGCAGGTGACGGGGGAAGTCGGCGAGCACTGTCGACGCCGTGAGACGCGCGTCGTCGTAAAGGCGAGCCGAGCCGTCTGGAAGCAAAACGACGACGCACGGCGGGATGGGGTCGGCCTTGGCTTGCGACATCCTTGCGAAGTATAGGGAGTCGAGGTGCAGCAGCAGAAACGAAAAGCGACGGGGACAGCTACGGATTTCGAATCCAATGAAATTCGCTATGAAAGAGAATGCTTGAGTTCAGCTCACTGTTTGAATGAAGAGAGATCAATGGTGCTTTATCGGCTGGATATCCCAGTGATGTTGGGAAAAAGGGAAACCCTTGCTGACAGCGGCAGGGCACGACGACACTGACAACGACGCTGCGCCTCGAAGTTTTTTTCCCTCCCTCGCGGAAATCGGACTTTCGGCGTGGGCAACAGGTGGCGTGAAGTGACGATGTTTGTCGTCATCCTTTCTGGGGGCACGAGGCCAATTCAAACGGGCCGCACCGCGTCGCCCAAACAGCTGGAGCTGCAAGGGAACAGCTCAAGCTGCTTTGGCTTCTAGTTCACGCGGAAGAAACTTAGTTTTCGCGAATATCTACATCACGCCTGCGACATGGCAAGCAGGCAGGCAACACCACCTCAGTCGTGCTGTCGTCGAGCGTCATTTTGACGATCGCAGAAGCTTATTCTGACTGCTGCCGTGCCGGTCAAATTGCTGGTTTGGCTGGTAATGGTGCAAATATGCCTGTTGCGACGTGTTGTATACCACTCAGCCATCTGCGACTCGTTGCGACTTCGACGTCTAGCAGCAATATTTATGTCGCCGATCGTCATCTTTTATCCGCATTTCGCATTGCAGCGTGCGCAAAAAACTGGTTCTGACGGCTGCCGTGCCGGTCAAACTGCAGGTTGGCTGGTAATGGGACGTGTTGCGAAATTGGGCTGTTTGACCAATTGTGCGACAGATTTGCCATTTGCGACGTGTTGCGAAACTGGGCTGTTTTACCAGTTGTGGAACAGATTTGCAACTTGCGACGTCTTGCGAAGGTGCGACAATTGACCAATTGGATGGCGTTTCTAGACATTTCTCAATCGCGTCGGTTGGTCTAGTCAAGCTTGGCTCGACTCGACTTCCCCCCACCCTGCAGCTCGAATCGACACGTCCGTCATGTCGGTTGTGTCTTGAAACGCGACAAAACCGCTTCTGTCACGCAACCGCCAGGGTCTAGTACCCGATAGAAAGGTATACGATTATCCTGCTATGGGCGACCTCGGACCTCGGGGGTGTACTGACGAAACCATTTGAGTTTAGGTACATTCGATGCACTACACACAGAATTCTTTGTGGCAGTAACAACCTGTGAGCTCGCCTCCTTTCCTGCTACTGCTATTACAACAGCAACTCACTCCTCACCCCAGCCAGGTAACTGTGCTCCAACCCCCACCAACCCCCACCAACCCCCACCAACCCCCACCAACCCCCACCAACCCCCACCAACCCCCACCAACTTCCACCAACCCCCACCGCTCTCCTGATACCGTACTAATCGCCTTGCCCTCATAATGCCACTGCAGGCATTCAAAAGCAGCTTTTGAGGCGCCTCGAAAGCTCACACCTCACCCCAGCCAGGTGATTGTGCTCCTGTCCCCACCGCCCCCCACCCCTTTCCTGATGCTAATCGCCTCGCCCTCATAATGCCGCTGCAGGCGCTCAAAAGCAGTCACATCCAGCCGGCCGGTGCCGCCCCGTCCCGCCCCGTGCTTGCGCTCGTGCTGCTGCTGCCTCACACTCGTCCACAGCGCCTCGATTGCCGCCCGCTGCCGCCCGGTGAAGCGCCGCCTGTGGTCGTGTGCGTGCTGAGTCAACATGTCTATGGCCGTCTGGGCCCTGCGGGGTGGGGGATGGAAGGGAAAAGCAGGATAAGGAAAGTGCAGTAAAGGATAAGCAGGCAACGGCAGCGGGTCCCATCAATGCGCCGCCTGTGATCGTAGGCGTGTTATGTCAATGCCCGCCAGGGCCCTGAGAGCGGCTCGGGGGGAGAGGGGGGAGGAGGGGGAAGGGGAAGCAGGAACAACAAATGGAGGCAGCGGCAAAAGAAGAACATGCTGCTGAGAAATGAAGAGGAGAACTTAAGATTAAGAAAGACTTTCGAGGCGCCTAAAAAATCGTCTAAAAAATCTTTCGAGGAGACTCAAAAAGCATGTGGAAGGGTATTCGGGATAGTGCCTGACATTTTTTGCACACAACACATCGCATTCACCACTCGCCCTAGCCTTCAACACTCAACCTAGGCAACAATTCACCATTTGTGCTGGTAAATATCTGTGGCAGTCTAATAGACACCAGCAGCAGTCTGAACGCACAGCAGCACACCACACTTACCACTTGTGCCGATACATCTCTGTGGCCGTCTGAATGCACATCAGCAGAGCCTCCCTCCTCTCACCCTAGCTCTCACCACCTGTGCCAACCCAAGACCTTTCACACCCATCCTCACACTCACCACTTGTGGCGATACATCTCTGTGGCAGTCTGAATGCACAGCAGCAGAGCCTCCCTCCTCTCTCTCAACATCCGCCTCTCTCCTCCTCCTCCTGCCTTCGTGCCTCTTCCTCTTCCCTCCTCCTCCTCTCCCTCTCCTCCCTCCTCTTCTGCTCCCTCATAGCCTGCTTACTCTTTATCATGTCGCCCAACCCAAATGGATCCTCCTCCTCCTCTTCCTCCTCCTCCTCTCCCTCACCTCCTTTCCCTCCTCCCTTTTCCCCACTTAGACCCAGCATGGAGTTTAATCCAAACGGGTCTGCATCAGCATCTGCACCAGTATCTGCAGCAACATCTGTAGCATTTGCATCATCCCTTCCTTTTTCCTCCCGTCTCTCTTCCCCACCCTCTTCTCCCCCATCCCTGTTCTCTTGAAGCTTGCTCCCCTGACGCTCCACACTCTCTTCCTCCTTCCCTTCCCCCTTCTCGTCCCTCCTCTCTCCCTCGCCCTCGCCCTCCACATGCCCCTCTCGGCCCTGCATCTGCATCGCAACCCCTGCAAACAGCCCCGCCTCTTCCCTTTCATCCTCCTCTGCTGCCTCTGCCAGTCGCTCCACCTCCTGCTGCACCCGAGATACAGCCTTGGAGAACTGGAGGGGATGGTGAGGACACGGCGAGAAAAGGGGAAAACCGCACACATGGAAGGTGGATAAAGCAACACCCATTGTATCCCTCCCATCCTCCTCTGCTGCCTCTGGCAATCGCTCCACCTCCTGCTGCACCCGAGACACTGCTTTGGAGAACTGGAAGGGAGGGGAAAGGGGGAAGGGAAGAGGAATGGGGGGAAGGGGGGAGTGAGGGCAGTGAACAGGAGAGCTTTAAGAGCCTCTGGCAGTCGCTCTCCAACGCCTGCTGCACTCGAGAGACAGCCTTGGAGAACTGGGGGGGAGGGCGGAATCGAATAAATGGGGAGGGGAAAATAGGAGGTGAGGCTTGAGTGTTGCGGCTAATGCCCCGAGCCCCACCCTACCAGTCCCCCCACCTGTTGCCCCCCTCAACTCGAAGCTGTCGCCACCTGCCTTCATGCCTAGAGCCCCCCACCGCACCCCCCAACCCACCCCCTCATCCGCCCCTCCATCTGCCCCCCCCACATCTGTTCCACTCCCCAACTGGAAGCTGTTGCCGGTGCGCAGGGAATGGGAGGGCACAGCGCGCAACCCCCACACACACGTGCACTCGTGCCCCACCCCACCACACGCCCACCCATCCCATCAGCATTGCCCACCTGGAATGTGCCGTCACGTGCCTTCACGCCCGCCTGGAAGCTGTCATCAGTGCGCAGGGAGTGGGTGAGCGCACAGCGCACAGCCCCCACACGTCCACCTGCCTTCATGCCCCCACACGTCCACCTGCCCTCATGCCCCCACACGTCCACCTGCCCTCATGCCCCCACACGTCCACCTGCCCTCATGCCCCCACACGTCCACCTGCCCTCATGCCCCCACACGTCCACCTGCCCTCATGCCCCCACACGTCCACCTGCCTTCATGCCCCCACACGTCCACCTGCCTTCATGCCCCCTGGTCCCTTTTGAAAGCTGCTCCCCAACCCCTCCTCTCCCCCTCCCCCCCCTTTCATGAAAGCTGTCATGCGCAGGGAATGGGTGAGCACAGTGCGCAGCCCCCACAGCTGCCTTCGTGCCCACTGCCCCACCTTGCAAGCTGCCCCAAACCCCCCCCCCCCACCCCCCCCTTCTCTCAAAACCTGTTCCCCCACCTCACCTGGAAGCTGTCGTCGGTGCGCAGGGAATGGGTGAGCACAGCGCGCAGCCCCCACACGTCCACCTGCTGCTGCTGCCACGGCGTGAACAGCTGCGCAAGTGGGGAAGGGTGGGGGGCGAGATGGGGGTGGGGTGGGGGGGGTAGGGGGTGGGCGGATCAGGTAGGGGGGAATTGGGTGTGCGCAAGGATGGGGTTGGGGGGACGAGCGGGATGGGGGGGAGAGACGAAGGATGGGGCTGAGCAAGCAGGATGCTTAGGACGTTGAGGGGGTGAATCATTCGCCCCCATGCTCCCCCATGTCTCCCACCGCCCCGCTCCCCATCCCCCTGACCTCCGTCCCCCTGCCTTACTCCTCCCCCGCCCCCCCTCCCACGTACCTCCTTTCTCTCCACAGCAGCACCAATCAGTGCAGCGTAATCACTCCCCACGTCCCCCGCAGCCCCCACCACCATTCCCCCCGCCCCTCCTCCCTCTCTCCTCAGCAGCCCCATTGCTGCCTCCAATACTCCAAAGAACAGACCCGCATGACCGCTCTCCACCGATCTGTTCACTCCACTGTTCACAACACTGTTTGCGGCACTGTTCAGGGCGCCGCCCTCCAGAAGCTGCCGAGCGAGGCCGGCCGCCTTCTTGAACTTGGTCGGCGTGCCGATGTGGGCGGCGATCTTGGCTATTGCTGACGTCACCTTGTCCTCTGCCACCTCAGCAAACGTGTTGAAGCGCACCCGCCGGCGCGGGGGGGCTGGTAACGGGGAGAAGGGGAAGTGGAGAATGAGGGGGAAAGGAGGGGGGAAGGGGGAAAGAAATGGGAAAAGGGGGAGCAGGGGGTAGAAGAGGAGAGGAAGGGGTGGGGAGGAGGGGGATGGTTGGGCAATGTTTTGGGGGGGATGGAGCCTTGAAGGGGTGTCTACGAGGAGGAGAGGAATGCGGAAATTAGGGTTAGGGAACGCAGAGATGAAGGGGACTTAACCAGGCTCACGGAAACCATAGCAGGAAAATTAGGGTTATGGAACAGGAACGGGTGCTAGGCGGGAAGAGCCGACGGGTGTATGAGATAGCCACAGGAGCCAGAAACTGGCGAGATAGCAATGAAGCCATGGGGACATGCAACCCTAACCCAGCGAGGTCAGCAAACCAGGTCACATCAAGTCAACGGCGGTCAACTAGGTCACACACAAGGTCAACGCCAGTCAACATGATCAGGAGCATCCGTACCGTCGCCATCTGCCTCGTCCGCCACAGCCATCCCCACGCGCTTCCTAGTCTTTCCGCCGTCCCCCGATCCCCCACCCGCGCCCCCCGCGCTGACATTCCCCGTCCCCTCTTCCCCCCGCGCATCCGCCCTCCCTTTGAGGGACGACTTGAGCGCAGACGGCTTTGGCGCAACCGCCGCCGGCCGTTCGGCAGGAGTTGACGGTTTGCTAGACGGAGTTGACGTTGACGACGGAGGGTTGGCGCGAGTTGGTGGCTTTGGAGCGTTCGACGGCGGAGGCAAGTCGCCGAAGAGACCCATAGCGATACGCGCAGCGAGGAACGCGGCGTCAAAAGAAAAGCGGAAAAAGAAAGGGTGAAAACTGGAATGCGGTTGTGGAAGGGTGAAAAGGGAAGGACGAGCGCGTATGGCGGCTGAGAAAAAGGCGTGCCGACGCAGAGGATTGAACTCTGGACCTTCTGTTTACAAGACAGATGCTCTACCACTGAGCTACACCGGCTTGTTGATCGGGATGTCGTTAAATTATAGAATAATTGCTTACTCACAATGCTTATAAGACGATTGCCACCAAATTATAACGACTCAGTTTTAGCCAGCTACGCTGTTATCGATGTGTTCAATGTGGGAGGACGACATCCACATGGCATCGTCTAAGCGCGTGCCTGCCAGCTCAAGCGCTGATTCCCCACCCCGCTCGCCATGCATGCGTCGCGGATTCTCCTCCTAGTCTCGCTTGACAGCTCACCACTGCCGCACTGCGCCTCGCCGTCAGTAGCCGAAGCGCGGCATCAGCTCGCCACGAATCATGTTCCCCCATCGGCCCGCCTTCGCCTTCCCACCCTTCCCACCCGCCACCACTCCCCCCATCTTCCGCCCTTTCCCCTCCCCGTCCTCCCCGAATTCCTCTACACAATTGGCGCAACTTCGGAGCTCTCCCGTCCGCGCATGCTCCTTGGAAACCGCCGCTCTTCGCCGCTCTTCATCGCTCTCCACCGCTCTTCACCGCTCTCCTCCCGACCGCCTTACCGCGCCATGTCCCCTGGAATAACAGTTCCTCCCTTCCCCCCCGCACCCGCTGCTGAGGGGACGGGGCGAATTTCCGGGAAAACGTTGCGGGGACGCTGGGCACATGTGGGATCGGAGGGGGGGGCTTTGCGGGAGCGTCGCGGGAACGTTGCGGGAACGTTGCGGGGACGTTGCGGGGACGTTGCGGGGACGTTGCGGGAATGGGGAAGGGAAACGTTTGGGGGACGTTGCTATGGGCGGCGTTGCCATCTATCACGGAGTAGGAACACTAGATTCGCACCGCCGCGTTACTAGGGCAACGTTGACCTATTGCTCGCAGTCACAGCTGGTGTGTATCGCTATCGTTCGACTGGTTGGAGCAGCCGTCTAGTTGGCGCGACGTGTGAGCACCGGAGTTGCGTCAAAAGGGAAGATAATAGGCGTTATAAGGGACGGAGTAAAAAGCGCGTCGAGCAGAAAGCGCGAATGGCGTCATTCGTGTTCCAGACCCCCTCGTGTCGCGCCTCTCTGGATTTAACGGCCGCTCCCGCTGCCGTCGCCGCAGCCGGCGCTGCAGCCGCTGCTTTCCCGCCCAAGGGTCGCCTGGTGGTGTCGCGAAGCTGGCGAACTTTCGCGCAGCCGCCACGGCTTGAGCGACTAAACTCTGATCGGACGGCGAGGGTTGGTCGCGTGGGGGGGCGCGGCGATTTGAAGGCGAGATGCCTCGGGAGGCGAGCAGAAGGGGAAGCGGAGAGAGCTGACGTGGCAGATGGGGAGAAGACAGCTCAGATGGAAAAATCGCCTGTGAGTGTTGAAAGTCAAAGAAGTCAAGGTAGTCAAAACAGGGAGTGAACCTCCGCCATGGATTCAACGCGTTCAGCCCTCTCATGCCATGGTCTTATTGGCGCCTTGCTCAAATGGCCGCATGTCTGTGCGCGGGTCTCCACCCTCCTATCTCTCCTTCTCTCCTCTCCCACTCTCCTGTCCTTCTTCTGTCACTTTTCCCCTCTCCTTGTCGCATCTCCCACCCCACTCCCTCGCTCCCCCACTCCCTCGCTCCCCCACTCTCTCCTCCCCGGCCCCCTTTTCCCATACAGCTGGCGGACCAATCCGTGGCTGCCACGTGTATCAACGCCATCCGCATGCTGGTGGTGGATGCAGTCAACAACGTCAACGCGGGCCATCCCGGGTCCGCCATGGGGCTGGCGCCACTTGGCGCGCTGCTATTCGCCGAGGAGATGCGCTTCGACCCCGCCGATCCCGCGTGGCCCAATCGCGACCGCTTCATCCTGAGCAACGGCCACGTGTGCCTGCTGCAGTACTGCCTGCTTCATCTAACGGGATACAATCTCCAGGTGTGTTAGGCTGTGTTGGGCGTGTGTTGTGTGTGTGCATCATCAACTGTGGAGCAACGGCCACGTGTGCCTGCTGCAGTACTGCTTGCTGCACCTCACTGGGTATAATCTTCAGGTGCGTTGTGCAGGCGTGCGCTGGGCGTGTGTTGCGCATGCGCATTGTAAGATGTCCAGGTACATGTTACCACGCGTGTCTGCTGCAGTACTGCCCGCTGCATCTAAGGGGGTATAATATCCAGGTGAATTGCGCGTGTGCTGGGTGTGTGGTGGGCGTGTGCTGTGGCATGGCCATGAGGTGGAGCAACGGCCACGTGTGTCTGCTGCAGTACTGCTTGCTCCTCTTGACGTGACTCGTGTGAGGCGTCACAAATGCACCCTTGCCAACCTCCCGGTATCCCTGCCAACTCCTTGGTATCCCTGCCAACCGCCCCCAACCCCCGGTGGCAGATGGAGGACCTGAAGCGCCTGGCGAAGCTGGGGAGCAAGACGCCTGGGCACCCCGAGAACACCCTCACTCCGGGGATAGAGGTCACCACAGGTGGGGCGGATGGGTGGTGCTCACCCTCACTCTGGTGTTTGTGCCAGACTTTCTTTGCTATTCCTCCCTCTCCTTTTGTCCCTGGTTCGAGTCGGGTTGTGAGAAGCCCCCAAACGCTTTCGTCGCTTCCACCCTCCATTCCTGCCTCCCTGCAGGCCCGCTGGGGCAGGGCTTTGCGAATGCGGTGGGGGTGGCAGCAGCCGAAGCACACTTGGCTGCTCGCCTCAACACCGTTGACTTCCCTCACCTCGTTGACCACCACACGTGAGTGTGACCTCACACATTGACACACCACCTCGTCTGTGCTTCTCGGTGCCGTCTGACGCCGTTGCCTCCCCCCCCAGTGGGTGCTGTTTGTGCTTGCTGCCACCGTCTTTTGAGTCGAGTTGACTTTTGAGTCGACTCAGAAGTCATCTGTTTGTGCTTGCTGCCACCGTCTTTTGAGTCGAGTTGACTTTTGAGTCGACTCAGAAGTCATCTGTTTGTGCTTGCTGCCACCGTCTTTTGAGTCGAGTTGACTTTTGAGTCGACTCAGAAGTCATCTGTTTGTGCTTGCTGCCACCGTCTTTTGAGTCGAGTTGACTTTTGAGTCGACTCAGAAGTCATCTGTTTGTGCTTGCTGCCACCGTCTTTTGAGTCGAGTTGACTTGAGTCGACTCAGAAGCCATCTGTTTGTGCTTGCTGCCACCGTCTTTTGAGTCGAGTTGACTTTTGAGTCGACTCAGAAGTCATCTGTTTGTGCTTGCTGCCACCGTCTTTTGTGTCGTCTTGATAGCGTGATCGTAACTACAAACAAGCATTGGCTCGTCTCGGCTCGGCTGTGCTTCTCACGGCATCGCCTTGCCTCCTCCCCTGTGGTGCTGCCTGTGGTGCTGCCTGTGCTGTTGCCGTCCAGGTTCGTTGTATTTGGCGACGGCTGTGCGATGGAAGGCGTGGTGAACGAGGCAGCGTCCCTGGCAGGCCACTGGGGGCTGGGGAAGCTCATTGCCTTCTATGACTCCAACCAGGTGCGGTGTGGGATACAGCTGGGTGTGGGCTGCGGCAGTCTCTGGGTGTTTGAATCAAACGGGTTAAGTGGGGTCAGATGGGTCACCATGGAGGGTGACCCATCTGACGGACCCAGTGATGGCATCACTGGCGGGCCACTGGGAGCTGGGGAAGCTAATCGCCTTCTATGACTGCAGCCAGGTGGTTAATACAGGGGAGCAGCCCCATCACTGACAGACCACTGGGGGCTGGGAAAGCTCGTCGCCTTCAATGACTCCAACCAGGTGTGGGGCCTGCACCTGCTGCCTTGAACTCGCATGTCACGGGGTTCACATCACTAGGGAGTAGCCCCGTCACTAGCGGGCCATTGGTGGCTAAGGAAGCTCATCGCCTTCTATACCTCCAACCAGGTGCGATGGCTGCACTTGGGCCAGGTGAAAGGATGTGGGGTCAGATGGGTTGGTAGGGAGTAGCAGCATCAGTGACAAGCCAGTGGGGCCTGGGTAAGCTCGTGGCCTTCTGTATCTCCAAACAGGTGCGGGATACAACTAGTGTGTGAGCGGCAACTGGTTGTGCGGGCGGCACCTGCTGTTTTGAACTCCCCTCCTCCCCTATACGTCTCACCTTTCCCCGCTCTCTGAAGCTGTTCCTTCTTCTCGCCCCCTCCCAACCTTACCCACCCACCACAGGTCACCATACTCAGGCAGCACATCACTTGTCTTTTGAAAACGTCTTCGATCGCTCTTGAGGCTTCTTACTCCACTCTTCCCCAGCAGATTCTACTATACAGAAAAAAAATATTAAGAGCTACCACCACCAAGAGCTGCAATAACACAGCTGCAGCGTCAGCAGCAAACGAAGCAGCAGCAGCAGCTTTAACGGCCACACGAGGATTAGTGGCAGCACGTTTAACAGCTTGCTGAACGTGCTGCCACTGATCCTCGTGTGGCCGTGAAAGCTGCTGCTCCGTTTGCTACTGACGCTGCAGCAGTTGCTATTGCAACTCTTGGTGCTGGTAGCTCTTAATATTGTTTTGTATATTATTTTTTGCTTAAGCCTCCGCAGCCCACCTGTTTCGGTACTGACACGTCTTCGATCGCTCGAGACGTCTTACTCCCCCCTTCCCCTCATCAACCCCTTCACCCCCCCTCCCAGGTCACCATAGACGGCAGCACAGCCCTCGCCTTCTCTGAGGAAGTCATGGGTCGCTCTTTGAGGCGTCTCACATTCCCCCTTCCCCCCCTTACCTTCACCTCTCCTCCCTTCCCTCCCCTCCCCTCCCCCCCAGGTCACCATAGACGGCAAGACAGACCTCGCCTTCTCAGAGCACGTCCTGGGCCGCTTCGTTGCGCGTCACGTGCAGCGAATCCCACTTACCCCTTCCCCCCACCTTTCCCTTTCCCCCGAATTCCCACTCCTCCTCCCCCCTCCCTCCCCCAACAGGTCACCATAGACGGTAGCACGGACATTGCCTTCTCAGAGGACGTCCTGGGCCGCTTCGCCGCGCTGAGGTGGCACGTGCAACTAATCACACTGCGCGACGCCGCTGACCTGGATAGCCTGCGAGCCGCCATTCAAGCCGCCAAGAGGGAAACCCACCGGCCATCAATCATTCAAGTGGACACGTTGATCGGGTTCGGCTCCCCCAAGAAGCAGGGCACCAGCGCGGCCCACCATGGGGCGTTTGGAAAGGAGGAGACTGAAGCCATTAAGAAGACGCTGCACTGGCCCTACAACGAGCCGTTTACTGTTCCCGAGGAGGTGTACAGGTGCGTGGGAGGGGAGAGGTATCTGGCCGCTGCTGTGAGGTTGTCCATCCTGTTCTCTTGATTTTACCTGCTGCTGTCATGCAGAACAGCTCCCACCATATTCATCTATTGCACTACTTTCCATCACGATTGCCTTCTCTTTTATATCAAGGAAACCCATCGTACGTGGATACAAGCTCAGTGACCTCTAATGGTCCGTATATTGATTTGAACAAGTTCAACGGGATAGTATTCTTATGGTAAGCGTCTAGTCCTGGGACTCTAACCAATATACGGGATATACGGCACATGATCTCTGAACCACAGACTAGGTTCTAGTCCTGGCCGCTCCGTTACAAGCTCAGGGATACAAGCTCAAGGACCCTCCCTCTCTCCACCCACCCTCTGTCACCGCCTCTCTTCCCCCCTCCAAACCCTTCCTCTCCCCTCCTGCCTCCCTCCTAATGCCCGCTCTTCCATCTGCCAATCAGGGCCATGCATAAGGCGGCTGCGCGTGGCCAATCAGCGGCTGCCAGCTGGAGGGATCGGGTGGCGCAGTACCGCCAACGCCACCCGGACCGGGCGGCGCTTTTGGACGCACTCACATTGCCTGGGCGGCTGCCAGCTGGCTGGGAGGACTCGTTGCCGGTGAGAGAGGGTGGAGGGTGGGAAGGGGAGCAGGTAGGGGAGAGGGAGGAGAATGGGGGAGAGGAGGGGAAAGAGAGGGGTGTGTTTTGGGGAATTCTTGAAAATACCCCTCTAACGCTTCAAGGGTACTCCATAGTGTGCCGCAATGCAACGTGCCCTCGCCTCCTCCTCCCCCTTCCTCTTGCATCCCTCCCCGATCTTCCCCCCCACCCCCTCCCAGCACTCCTACCCATGGAACCTCCCTGACATCACGCGACGCGAGGCCACTCTTAGGCATAGAACCCACCTGACATGCGCTGCAAGCAACGCATCAATGCCCCGACTATCTCCTATCCGTGCCGCCTCTCTCCCTTTCCCCCCCTCCTCTCCAGCACTTCCAACCATCAACTCCTCCCGATGCCACGCGTGGTTACTCTGAAGCGTGTCTCAACGGCCTCGTGCACTCGCTGCACAACCTGCTGGGCGGCAGTGCTGACCTGGCATCCTCCAATAAGGTGAGGCATGCTGACGTGGCGTTTAGATAACATGCAAGAGACTGCCAGCATGAGCCCACATCATGGTAACCAGCGGCCTCCCTCCCCTCATCACCCCTTTTCCGCGGCCCCCTCATCCGCCCTCCCCTCATTCCCCCTCGCCACGCGCCCCTCCCCACACATGGCGCCCTCCCAGGTGGCCTTTCACGGGCTTCCGGACTTCTCCCGGGAGTGCTTTGAGGGCCGCAACTTCCACTACGGCGTGCGCGAGCATGCCATGGCTGCCATCAGGTGCGATGCGAGCACGGTGGGACAGGGGTGAGCATGACATGCTAGGGCAGGGGTGGTGAGCATGATGCGAGGGCACAGCATGGTGTGCACCTCCTGACATGCTGTGGCAGGGGTGGTGAGCATGAGGTGAGTGCATGGCGTGGCGGGCATCACCTGACATGCTGCCACACCGGACTTCTCCCGGGACTGCTTCTCCCGGGACTGCTTCTCCCGGGACTGCTTCTCCCGGGACTGCTTCCTCCCGGGCGGCTTCTCCCGGGACTCCTTCTCCCGGGACTGCCTTCCTCCCGGGGACTGCTTCTCCCGGACTTGCTTCTCCCGGGACTGCTTCTCCCGGGACTGCTTCTCCCGGGACTGCTTCTCCCGGGACTGCTTCTCCCGGGACTGCTTCTCCCGGGACTGCTTCTCCCGGGACTGCTTCTCCCGGGACTGCTTCTCCCGGGACTGCTTCTCCCGGGACTGCTTCTCCCGGGACTGCTTCTCCCGGGACTGCTTCTCCCGGGACTGCTTCTCCCGGGACTGCTTCTCCGGGACTGCTTCTCCGGGACTGCTTCTCCCGGGACTGCTTCTCCCGGACTGCTTCTCCCGGGACTGCTTCTCCCGGGACTTGCTTCTCTCCCGGGACTGCTTCTCCCGGGGACTGCTCTCCCCGGGACTGCTTCTCCCGGGAATGCTTCTCCCCGGGACCTGCTTCTCCCGGGACTGCTTCTCCCGGGACTTGCTTCTCCCGGGACTGCTTCTCCCGGGACTGCTTCTCCCGGGACTGCTTCTCCGGGACTGCTTCTCCCGGGACCTGCTTCTTCCCCGGGACCTGCTTCTCCCGGGACTTGCTTCTCCCGGGACTGCTTCTCCCGGGACTGCTTCTCCCGGGGATGCTTTCTCCCGGGACTGCTTCCTCCCGGGACTGCTTCTCCCGGGACTTGCTTTCTCCCGGGAACTGCTTCTCCCGGGACTGCTTCTCCCGGGACTGCTTCTCCCGGGCCTTGCTTTCTCCCGGGATGCGTCAGGACTGCTCTCCCGGGACTTAGCTTCTCTCTCCCGGGACTGCTTCTCCCGGGACTGCTATCTCCCGGGACTGCTTCTCCCGGGGACTCGCTTCTCCCCGGGACTTGCTTCTCCCGGGACTGCCTTTTCCCTTTTTCCCGGGACTGCTCTCCCGGGACTGCTTCTCCCGGGACTGCTTCTCCCGGGACTGCTTCTCCCGGGAACTGCTTCTATCCCCGGGACTGCTTCTCCCGGGGACTGCTTCTCCCGGTGACTGCTTCTCCCGGGACTGCTTCTCCCGGGACTGCTTCTCCCGGGACTCTGCTTTCTCCCGGGACTGCTTCTTCTCCGGGAACTGCTTCTTCCCGGGACGCGATTCTCCCGGGACTGCTTCTCCCGGGACTGCTTCTCCGGGATGCTTCTCCCGGGACTGCTTCTCCCGGGACTTGCTTTCTCCCGGGACTGCTTCTCCCGGGACTGCTTCTCCCGGGACTGCTTCTCCCGGGACTGCTTCTCCCGGGACTGCTTCTCCCGGGACTGCTTCTCCCGGGACTGCTTCTCCCGGGACTGCTTCTCCCGGGACTGCTTCTCCCGGGACTGCTTCTCCCGGGACTGCTTCTCCCGGGACTGCTTCTCCCGGGACTGCTTTGAGGGGCGCAACTTCCACTACGGCGTGCGCGAGCATGCCATGGCTGTTATATAAAAGGGCAGGATCTGACATGCCAGCCGTATTTATTAAGAGATTATGAGAGTGCGCTTATACTACCCACATCACATCATCTGATCCACGGCTTTCATTCTGCGACTGGTTGGACACTAGCACACTGATCCTCGTAATGAGGTTATTTTCGAGACATCTAAAAAAATCTGCGGCTGGTGGGACACTAGCACACTGACCCGACACGCACACATGTCCTCCCATCACCCCACCCTGTCTTCCGCCACTCCTTCTGCATTCTTCCAAAACTGACCCTTTTAAGCAACAGGCTGACCCTCCACTCACATGCGTTCGTCCCATCCCATCCCATCCCATCCCATCCCATCCCATCCCATCCCCCACTCCAAAATCCCTCCCCAACCCTCTCTCCCCTCCAGCAACGTCCTTGCCTTGCATTCACGGGCGCTTATCCCAGTGGCAGCCACCTTCCTCGTCTTTTCCATCAACCTGCAACCCCCAACCTTGTTTCCCCACTCTTCACCTCCAGCAACGGCCTTGCCCTGCACTCACGGGCGCTCATACCAGTGGCAGCCACCTTCCTCGTCTTTTCCGACTATATGCGGCCGGCGCTGCGCCTCGCCGCCCTCTCCGCCGCCCGTGTGCTCTTTGTCTTTACCCATGACTCCATCGGGCTGGGGGAGGACGGCCCCACGCACCAGGTGAGCCCAATTTGTCCAGAATTTTTCTATTGTTTATTCACTCATCCGTATATCTAATTATATTTTTATCTATGTATCTATTTATCTATTTTCTTATATACATATATATATTCATATATTGCCCAGAGAATTGGACTTGTTGTCGATACCATGTGTTTTCTGCCCTTTCCTTCCTTTCCACATCATCCCACTACAGCCATTGGAGCATAATAGCATATCCCCTCCCTCTAGGCAATCCCCAACCTCCACGCCATCCGCCCAGCACACCACCTGAACTCCTCTCTCTACTCCTCCCCTTCTCTTCCTTCCCCTGTTCCTTCTCGTGTCCACCCCCTCTCCCCTTCTACAGCCAGTGGAGCACCTGCCATCCCTCCGGGCAATCCCCAACCTCCATGTCATCCGCCCCGGCGACGCCACCGAGACAGCTGGCGCCTACGTGGCGGCGATCTGGCGCAGCGTGGGGCCCACCGCGATCCTGCTGTCCCGTCAGAAGCTGACAGCTCAGCTCCGGGGGTCGTGCAGGGAGGGGGTGTTGAGGGGGGGATATGTGCTGGGAGGGGAGGGGAGGGAAGAAGAGGAGGAGGGGGAGGGAGGAGAAGGTGGATTGGATTTGATTCTGATTGGGTCAGGATCGGAGCTGGTGCTCTGCCAGGAAGCTGCTGAGAAGCTTCGCCAGGAAGGGTGCAGGTGAGACTGACCGAGGCTGCATGTGGTTGTGCCTCTCGCGTTTGGGCATCTAATTTTTTAGTTCCCCCAAAAAGCAACCACCCTCATTTGCATAAACCAGGCCGACCCCTTTCTGCGTGCATGGTGTATCACCAACAAGCAGTGTGCGAGCCGTGTGCCTGGGGGCCGTGTGCCTGGGAGCCGAAGAAATCTCTTTTCTTAAAGCCGTCTAAGATATCATCTACTGCTTGTCAACCCAACCCCTCCCTACCCATGCCTCTTGCCTCATGCCGCATGCTGCACCCGCATCCACCCCTCACACATCACATGCAAGCAGTGTGATGACATGCACACTGCATGCAAGCAGGGTGATGACATGCACACTGCATGCAAGCAGGGTGGCTGCCCTCCCCTGCTGGGAGTTCTAGTGAGGCATCTAGGAATTCTCCTGCTTGCAACCCATGCCCCATGCCTCAACCCCATCCCGCACCCTTGTCTCATCCTCCCCCCTCGCATATCGCATGCAAGCAGCATGCGGGTGGTGTCCCTCCCCTGCTGTAATCTCTCTGAGGTATCTAAAAAGTCTTCTTCCCTGCTTGCCAACCCAAACCCAACCCGTCCATGCCCCACCGCCCAACCCCCAACCCCCCTCGCATATCGCATGCAAGCAGCGTGCGGGTGGTGTCGCTCCCCTGCTGGGAGCTCTTCAGGCAGCAGCCTAGGGAGTATCGGGACGCTGTGCTGCCGCCACGTGTCACCAAACGACTGGCTGTTGAGGCTGCTCGCTCCCAGGTAGGCTGGTTCTCTAGCTGCTGCTTCTATTGATGGTTCTGCTTAATGTATAGTATTATGTTTGTCCCAGCCATGTTGTGTATGCTTACTTTGTGGCTAAACTTGCCCCCTGCCTTTCACTCACAGGGCTGGTGCGAGTGGGTGGGACCTGAGGGGTCTGTCCTCTCTGTTGAGCGATTCGGTGCCAGCGGGCATTATCTTGAAGTGTTCCATAAGTTCGGATTCACTGTAGACAACATTATGGAGCACGCTTATAAGGTGATGGGTAGGATCCAGTGAGATGGAGTGCGGTGGAGAACGGTGGTGCGTGAACTGTGATTTTGTTTAGGGGGTGTCATGTCGAATTGTAAGCATTATTAAGACATGGCAAGCCTTGCAGTGAACAAGGGACTGATAAGCTGGGAATCAGAAGTCCACTTGCCTCTGGAACCATGCAGATACTGCTTCATGCCTTGTCAAAATAGACAGGTGGTGGGCTTCAAAGGCCTTACTTTCATCAACTTGGTAGGTAGTCATTAACTCCGCGACCTCCCTTTCACCTCCTCTCACGAACATCTCATGCTACAAGTCCACTGCTCGCATCCCCTCCTCTCACACCCCTCTTCCCACAACCCTCCTTCCACACCTTTTCTCCCACACCTCTCCTTCCACACCCCTTCTCCCACACCTCTCCTTCCACACCCCTTCTCCCACACCTCTCCTTCCACACCCCTTCTCCCACACCTCTCCTTCCACACCCCTTCTCCCACACCTCTCCTTCCACACCCCTTCTCCCACACCTCTCCTTCCACACCCCTTCTCCCACACCTCTCCTTCCACACCCCTTCTCCCACACCTCTCCTTCCACACCCCTTCTCCCACACCTCTCCTTCCACACCCCTTCTCCCACACCTCTCCTTCCACACCTTTTCTCCCACACCTCTCCTTCCACACCCCTTCTCCCACACCTCTCCTTCCACACCCCTTCTCCCACACCTCTCCTTCCACACCCCTTCTCCCGCACCTCTCCTTCCACACCCCTTCTCCCACACCTCTCCTTCCACACCCCTTCTCCCACACCTCTCCTTCCACACCCCTTCTCCCACACCTCTCCTTCCACACCCCTTCTCCCACACCTCTCCTTCCACACCCCTTCTCCCACACCTCTCCTTCCACACCCCTTCTCCCACACCTCTCCTTCCACACCCCTTCTCCCACACCTCTCCTTCCACACCCCTTCTCCCACACCTCTCCTTCCACACCCCTTCTCCCACACCTCTCCTTCCACACCCCTTCTCCCGCACCTCTCCTTCCACACCCCTTCTCCCACACCTCTCCTTCCACACCCCTTCTCCCACACCTCTCCTTCCACACCCCTTCTCCCACACCTCTCCTTCCACACCCCTTCTCCCACACCTCTCCTTCCACACCCCTTCTCCCACACCTCTCCTTCCACACCCCTTCTCCCACACCTCTCCTTCCACACCCCTTCTCCCACACCTCTCCTTCCACACCCCTTCTCCCACACCTCTCCTTCCACACCCCTTCTCCCACACCTCTCCTTCCACACCCCTTCTCCCACACCTCTCCTTCCACACCCCTTCTCCCACACCTCTCCTTCCACACCCCTTCTCCCACACCTCTCCTTCCACACCCCTTCTCCCACACCTCTCCTTCCACACCCCTTCTCCCACACCTCTCCTTCCACACCCCTTCTCCCACACCTCTCCTTCCACACCCCTTCTCCCACACCTCTCCTTCCACACCCCTTCTCCCACACCTCTCCTTCCACACCCCTTCTCCCACACCTCTCCTTCCACACCCCTTCTCCCACACCTCTCCTTCCACACCCCTTCTCCCACACCTCTCCTTCCACACCCCTTCTCCCACACCTCTCCTTCCACACCCCTTCTCCCACACCTCTCCTTCCACACCCCTTCTCCCACACCTCTCCTTCCACACCCCTTCTCCCACACCTCTCCTTCCACACCCCTTCTCCCACACCTCTCCTTCCACACCCCTTCTCCCACACCTCTCCTTCCACACCCCTTCTCCCACACCTCTCCTTCCACACCCCTTCTCCCACACCTCTCCTTCCACACCCCTTCTCCCACACCTCTCCTTCCACACCCCTTCTCCCACACCTCTCCTTCCACACCCCTTCTCCCACACCTCTCCTTCCACACCCCTTCTCCCACACCTCTCCTTCCACACCCCTTCTCCCACACCTCTCCTTCCACACCCCTTCTCCCACACCTCTCCTTCCACACCCCTTCTCCCACACCTCTCCTTCCACACCCCTTCTCCCACACCTCTCCTTCCACACCCCTTCTCCCACACCTCTCCTTCCACACCCCTTCTCCCACACCTCTCCTCCTACCCCCCCGCTCCCACAACTACACTCACCCCACACACCCCTAGCCCCATACACACCCCTCATCCCACACCTTTCAACCCACGCATCCCATCTCCTCCACCCCCTCCTTCCCGATCCCCCTCCCCTCACACCCCTCCTCCCACACCCACACGTCCTCACCCCATCCTCACCCCATCCTCACCCATCCTCACCCCATCCTCACCCATCCTCACCCCATCCTCACCCCATCCTCACCCATCCTCACCCCATCCTCCTGTGCTCACACACCTTCTCCCAGACCCTTCTCCCTGCACTCCCTTTCCTCCGTTGTACCCCTCAACCCACGCCCCTCCTCCCACACATTCTTACTCCACACACCCCTTCCACTCCATCTCCTTGCACTCCCTCCCCCACACTCCTCTCTCTTTCCCTCTGCTCCCCACACTCCCACTTCCTCACCCTCCTTGCTCATTCCCTTCCCTTCCCTGCCCTGAACCTAGCCCGTGTGAGGCTCTTGGCAGCGAGAACTTTGGACACACACAGATTGGTTCTTGAAGGGAAGCCTTCAACAAACAGAACAAACAGATACCATCAAGTATACCGTATAATACTGGTTGTACTGGTACAATGTATAAGCTCATATATATACACTAATAAATGGCCCCTTCTATGCAAATCGAACGGTATTAACACTACACTTCAGCAGCACCTTGTTCCGCATATTACCCGCATCAGCAACACATTATCAGGGTCCTATCCATGCGTCATCCACGTCTTATCGGTGGTCTACCACCGTCTATCTACAGCTTAACCACGCCTTATTCGCGTGCGGGCGGCTTATCCATGTCTTATCGACGGCTTATCCAAGTATTACTCAATGGACACACCGGCCAGTATCAGAGCGCATTGAGCCATGCGAGGGGCAAGGAAGCGAGGAGAAAGGGAGCCACGGAGCGTCACTAAAGACGGAGGTCCAAGAAGGTGACGGCCTCTGAACCCCCCTCTCTCTGCCTCCCATGCTCTCGACTCGAGCCATGGCTCTGCTGCTGCCGCACCTGCTGATCCATCTGCTGCTCTGCCTGCGTCTGCCCTACCTGTTGACCTATATGCTGCTCTACCTGCTTCTGCTCTGCAATTCGTAGCTGCTGCCCCAAATTCTGTCCCAACTGCTGCCCCAACTGCTGCTCCAGCTGCTGCCACAGCTCTTGCTGCTGCCGGCTTTGCTGTGTTTGCCGGGTTGACTGCTGAGCCACACCCGGGGGCAGCTCAGATGCACCCGACGGCTGCTGTGGTGGTTCTGCTACGTGCTGCTGTGCTTCAAACGGATGACCCAGATGCTGCCCCAACTGCTCCTGCAACTGCTGCACCAACTTCTGCCCTGATTCCCGCCCCAAATGCTGCTCCAGGTACTTCCATAGCTCTTGCTGCTGCTGGGTTAGCTGTGATGGCTGGGTTGACTGCTGAGCCACGCCGTGAGACAACTTAGAGCCCCCTGACGGCTGCTGTGGTGGTCTTGCCACGTGCTGCCTCGCCTGCTGACCTGCCTGCGTTTCTAATGGCTGCTGTACCAACTGCTGCTGCCGCTGCTGTGACTGCTGTGACTGCTGTGACTGCTGTGACTGTTGCTGCAGCTGCTGCTGCTGTGATAGCTGTTGCTGCGGCTGCTGCTGCTGCGATAGCTGCTGCTGCAGCTGCGACTGCTGCCGCTGTTGTGACTGCTGCTGCAGCTTTGACTGCTGTGACTGCTGCCGCTGTTGTGACTGCTGCTGCAGCTGCTGTGACTGCTGTGACTGCTGCTGCAGCTGCCCCTGCTGCGACTGCTGCTGCAGCTGCGACTGCTGCTGAAGCTGCGACTGCTGCTGAAGCTGTGACTGCTGCTGCAGCTGCGACTGCTGCTGAAGCTGCAAGGGATGCTCTGGCGTTCTCTGCAGAAGAATGTGTGGAACAGACTGAACCTGGTTTGACTGCATTGACTGTGTTGACTGCATTGACTGCATTGACTGTGTTGACTGCATTGACTGCCGCTGCTGCTGCTGCGCCGCTGCTGCAGAGGTTTGTGCGAGGGGCAGGGGAGCTAGAAGAGCGAGGCTGGAAGGGGCTGCTGCAGCAGGAGAGAGACTGGCAAGAATGGCATAGGCAGTGGCATCACTGGCAGTGGCAGCAGCAGGAGTTGCACCAGCAGGAGTGAGACTGGCAAGAATGGCATAGGCAGTAGCGTCACTGGCAGGGACAGCAGCAGGAGTTGCAGCAGCAGGAGCAACAGAAGGAGCAGCAGCAGCAGCAGCAGCAGCAGCAGCAGCAGCAGCAGCAGCAGCAGCAGCAGGGGCCATGGCAGTAGAAGCGGCAGCAAGGGTGGGGGCAGCTGGAGGGAATAGAGAGGCGAGAGACGGCAAGAGAGGAAGGGAGGGGAGAGGAGTGGTGGGGGCAGGATGGGCCAGCAGGGCTCTCATGCTGTCCATCACACAGGCTGCTCTCATGCTGTCCATCACACAGGCTGCTCTCAGCAGACTGTCCGCTGGGAGGGCGGCACCTGGCAGTGCTGCTGCCGGGGCTACAGAAGGGGGTGTGGTGGGAATGGGGATTGGTGCTGCAGCAGGGGGTGTGGCAGGGGTTGGCAGTGGTGCAGTGGGTACGGCAGGTGTTAGTGGTGGTGCTACAGCAGAGGCAGGAAGCGCAGGTGGAAAGGGCAAGGCATGTGGCCGCGACGATGGGGGCAGGTGCTGTGGTGAGACGGTGTCGGAAAGGCTCGCAGAGGCACACGCAGCAGCACTAACACCTGGGAGGAGAGGGGAGGAGAGGGTTTGTGACATGACTGGGAGGGAAGGAGGAGGACGAGGGGGAGGTGGTGGAGGAAGAGTGGGGGGAGGGAGGGTAAGACCAGGGGCTGATGGCAGCAGCAGAGAGGGACGCGAATAGTGAAGGGGGCACAGCGGGGGTTTGGGCCGATTTCATGAGTGAAGAAGAGTGGTTAGGAGCAAGGTGGTCGGCGGGAGCGTGGTTAAAATGCGAATGGTTGGCAGGAGGGAGGTTGGCGGGAGGGTGGTTCGGGGGTGGGCGGTTGGTGGGCGGGTGGTTGGTGGGCGGGTGGTTGGTGCCAGGGTGTTTGGAGGGCGGGTGGTTGGCAGGAGAGTTGTTGGCGGGAGGGTGGGTGACGGGTGGGTGGGTGGCGGTAGGCTGGTTGGAAGGAGGGTAATTGGCTTGGGAGACAGAGGCTGGATCAACAGCGAGAGTTTGGGGAGAGAAAGCTTGGGGAGCGGCAAGAGGTTGGGTAGCGGGAGGTTGGGAAGCGGGAGGTTGGGTAGCGGGAGGTTGGGGAGCGGGAGGTTGGGGAGCGGGAGGTTGGGGAGCGGGAGGTTGGGTAGCGGGAGGTTGGGGAGCGGGAGGTTGGGGAGCGGGAGGTTGGGGAGCGAGGAGGGTGTGCAGAGGGGAGGAGGTGGAGAAGCAGGCGTGGAGGCGTTGCCATGGCGTGCCATGCGCTGCTGCACTCCCCCTCATCCTCGCACTGCCACTCCCTGCCACACTTCCACTCACCCCTGCACTGCCACTCACCCCCACACTGCCACTCACCCCCACACTGCCACTCACCCCCACACTGCCACTCACCCCCACACTGCCACTCACCCCCACACTGCCACTCACCCCCACACTGCCACTCACCCCCCCACTGCCACTCACCCCCACACTGCCACTCACCCCCGCACTGCCACTCACCCCCTCACTGCCACTCACCCCCGCACTGCCACTCACCCCCGCACTGCCCCTCACCCCCGCACTGCCCCTCATCCTTGCACTGCCACTCACCCCCGAGCTTTGAGGCGCCTCAAAACTTGCTGCTGCACTGCCCCTCACTCCCGCACTGCCACTCGCCCCCGCACTGTCTCTTATTCCCGCACTGCCTCTCATTCTTGCACTGCCTCTCATTCTTGAAGACGGCCTTAATTCATCAGAGGATAGTTCTGCTACTGACGCTGCTGCTCCTTCTCCAGTTCCTGCTACTGCCACTCCTGCTGTTCCTGCACCCCCACGGTCCCTTACTCCTGCATTTCCTCTCATTCTTGCAGATGGCCTTGATGCGTCAGGAGGGGATGGTTCTGCTACTAACGCTGCTGCTCCTGCTGCTACCCCTCCTCCTCCTCCTCCTCCTCCTCCTCCTCCTCCTCCTCCTCCTCCTCCTCCTCCTCCTCCTCCTCCTCCTCCTCCTCCTCCTCCTCCTCCTCCTCCTCCTCCTCCTTCTCCTCCTCCCCCCCTTCCTCCTCCTCCTCCTCCTCCTCCCCCTCCTACTCCTCCTCCTCCTCCTCCTCCTCCTCCTCCTCCTCCTCCTCCTCCTCCTCCTCCTCCTCCTCCTCCTCCTCCTCTTCCTATGGTTGTTGCTGCTGCTACTTCTCCGGTTCCTGCTACTGCTGCTGCTCCTGCTGTTCCTGCCCCTGTTCCTGCAGCAGGCAGCTCAGCAAGAAGAGCACTGCTGGCAAAAGCGGCAATTCTTGCAAGAGAACTGCTACTGGTAGCAAGAGTGGCACTGTTTACAAAAGCGGTGCTGTTAGCAAGGGTGGTGCTGGTAGCACGTGGGGAGCTGAGAGGAGGCAGTGACTCTGGTTCGGCCTTGATGCCTGATGATAATCTTATTCTTCCGCTTGCTCCTCCTGCATGAATGCCACGTGGCGCGCAATCTGCCACGTCAGCACCTTCTCCGGTTTGCAATTTCCTCCCTCCAGCAACATTAGCAGCAACAGCAGCAGCACCGCCACCAGCATCACCTCGATCACCACTAGCACCAGCAGGCTTGGTAGTAGTAGCAGCAGGTGCAGCAGAGGAGCAGAAACAGGAGCAGGAGCAGCAGCAGCAGCAGAAGCCGGAACAGCAGCAGCAGCAGCAGCAGCAGCAGCAGCAGCAGCAGCAGCAGCAGCAGCAGCAGCAGCAGCAGCAGCAGCAGCAGCAGCAGCAGCAGCACCAGCAGCAGCACCAGCAGCAGCAGCACCAGCAGCAGCAGCACCAGCAGCAGCAGCGGCAGGAGCAGGAGCAGGAACAGCAGCAGCAGGAGCAGGAACAGCAGCAGCAGCACCAGTGGCAGCAGCAGCAGCAGCAGCAGCAGCGGCGGCAGGAGCAGGAGAAGAAACAGCAGCAGCACCACCAGTGGCAGCAGCAGCAGCAGCAGCAGCAGCATGAGCTGCATGGTCAACAACATCATGGTCGTCCCAGTCGCACAGGCGAAGGTGGGGAGCTGACTTGCCCGCACTCCCATCCATGGTGCAGCTGGCGTGATGCTGCTGCTGCTGCTGCTGCTGCTGCTGTTGAGTTCCGGGATTACCTTCTGGTATGCTCCTTTCACCTGGTCTGCTCCTTTCACCTGGTCTGCTCCTTTCACCTGGTATGCTCCTTTCATCTGGATTGTTCTTTTCACCTGAAGCGAAATAACTGAAGCCACCATGTGCCTTAGAGCTTCCTCTACGTGTGTGTTTTTCACCCGAATGACTATGAGATGAGCTATCGCGTGGCAGCGATTGCCTGAAAGTACCGCATGTGGTTTCACCCCGGTAGACTCCCTGTCGGGCCTGCTCCATTTGTCTGGTCTCTTCCCTCTGCAGGTGCATCAGCCGCCCTTCGTCTCTCAGAGGCCTTTCCATGGGGTCTGATTCGCGGCGATCCGAAGCAAGAGTTCTTGCGTCTGTTGGGAGGTCTGTTGGAAAATCTGTTGGGAAACCTGAGGCAGGGTGTCCCGAATATGACCTTATTCGCCGTGCCACGGGACCCTCTCCCTCTCTGCTGTACTCGCTCCACTCTTGCTTCACTGCTACCAGAGCCCTTCCAGGGGCCTCTTGTGGATCAGAGTGCGTTCTTCTGTCAGTGCAGGTGAGAGACGATCTACCCCTGGATAGCTGGTGCAATGAGGCTGAAGCTCCTGAAGTTCCACCTTGAAAAGCACCTGAAACTACACCTGAGAGGACACCAGCGAGGCTGACCGAGGCAGAACCTGAACAGTCACCTGAACGAAGAACTGAAGGAGCGCTGGGAGGAGCACCTGGTTGAGCAACTGAAGGAACACCTGAAGGAATACCTGACGGAATACATGAAAGAACGCTTGAGGGAGCACCTGAAGGAAAACCTGAAGGACCACCTGAAGAAATTCCTGAAGGAGCACCTGACGGAGCACCTGAAGGAACACCCTGAGGCCACGCATGAGAACGTATTCGGCCAAGCTCGATATGAGCGGACCTTGAATCCACACCAGCATGAACCTCGTGGGAGGCAAGAAGCTGCGAGAGCATGCGAGTATCGGTTGCAAGAGCATTCAAGAGCGCATCGTGTGCGCTGGAAAGCTGAGAACTCGAGAGGGGCTGCAATCTCAAAGGGGGTTGCAATCCCAAGGGCAGAGCCTGGAAGGCGTTAGCACCGGCACCCTGGAACGCTAGTGCTGAGTCGGGGCACCGTCGAGAGCCCGATAGAGGGTCTGTGAAGGTTCCGGAGGCCAGGGGAGGGATTTGAGGAGGTTCGGAGACGACAGGTGGGCTTCGTGGCACAGGTGTGGTAAAGATACTACGGCGGTGCCGCTCCGGAAGACAATTGGCCTGGGCCCTTTTGGCCTGCACTGTTTCTTCGTCCTCCGCTGCGGCTCCTGCTGCTCCTATTCCTGCTGCTCTGACAAATAATGATGCTCCTGCCCCTGCCCCTGCCCCTGCCCCTGCACCTGCTCCTGCCCCTGCTCCTGCCCCTGCCCCGGCTGCTGCCGCACGGAAAGCCCCCGAATTCAAGACGGGCGATCCTCCAAGCGTTGGGAATTGGAGCGACCCTTGCGGTGGGGGCGTGGTGGTGGTAACATCAGGAGAGCGGCGTTTCCTACTACTAGGGTTGACTTGAGTGCTGCGGCTGCTAGGCGGGGTAATGTCTCCAGTGTGAGCAACGGAGAGGGGTAACTCCTCACCAGGCTGAACAGGCAGACGCTGGCTCGCAGCGGCAGTGGTGGCAGTGGCAGCAGCGGCAAAGGCGGAGGCAGAGGCAGTGGGAGCAGCATTGGCAGTGGCAGCAGCAGTGACAGTGGCACTGGTAGTGGCAGTGGGAGGGGGGGACGACGATGACGATGGGCTGTCGGAGTCAGCGGGAGGAGGCGGGTGATTGTGCTTGTTCTTGGTGGTCAGGCGCCGAGCTCGCATCTCAACCCTCCGTGCTCTGAGGCCCGTGGTGCTGACGCCAGCACCTGTGGTGCTGCTGCTGATGCTGCTGATGCTCTGTTGGATCGGAACCTTATCCACAACGAGCTTGGCTGGGCATCCCAGCGTGTCCTTTGCTGCGCACGCGTAGTAGAATCTGCATGACACAAAACCAGAGACACGAAAAAACGATTGCATTGGAAAAAAAAAAAAAACGGTCTTGATTGCATTGTAACCAATGGATGGCATTAACTAAATCTAGAATAGTGAACTCCAAAATTGACCCAGGGAACAACAGAAGGCACTTTGGGACACTTCAAAGCGGTCTCGAACGCGAGACAGGGTGAGAGCGTTCGCCAAACCTAGTAGTAGGTGGAACAGATGGCGGGTTGACTAAGAAATTGTGGGGAAAAAAAAAATCTACATGATCTAGCCGTTTGGACAGCGCTTCAATGAAAGTGAATCACAAAAGGTTCAGCAGATACGAGTCATGGTGATTTAACCCTTATTGTTCTTCACGGGATTGGGCCCAAGCATTGCGCGAAAACTTCCACAGTCTTCTGTATAAACCGCGTAGTTTGCTGATTAAAAAGTTGTTAAGAAAAAAAAGAAAAAAAAAAACCAACAACAAACGTGACTCCACTAACCGTTTGCCTTCTTGATGGGATGAAAGGACTTTGTGTCCATATTTCTTCCACTTGTAAGCTGTAATAGGCACGTCAGTCGACATTTCCAAAATTGGAAACCAAAAATCTCAAATGTGCTAACAAAAGCTTGAATCTGTCTGAAAGGTCTGAAGCCGCCGATTTCGAATCGAAGGCCCACAATTTGTGCAGAAGTCGTAAAGAAGCGGGAGCAGAAGTAGTACACATATGGGAACGACAATGCATTGGTGAAAAGTCCTGAATTGGATCACGAAAGTCTCAAAATAGAATTTCTGAAGGCGATAGACTTTCGTCATCAGGTTTCACGGACCACAAACGGATCACGAGGACGATTCGAATAATTGTAGGGTGGAGTGGAATGGAGCTTCTGTCAAGAAACAGTGGGGGGGATGATTGGCAGGATCGAGCTGGTATGGAACAAAACCTTCCGCCAAGACGGGGACAGAAAATGGCTTGCTGGGAGGAATGGACCAAAGCGGGGAAGACAGGCAGCAGATCAATGTGCGGGTGTTAGGGTTTCCAGGAGCCTCTGCCCGGCAACGATGCCAGGGATTGCGTGGAGAAATATACACGTACATGTGCTTAGACTTGTGCGTTGGAGTGAGAAACAGTACAGCACTGCTGTCGGTCAAAGTACAGTATCAAGATGTTCGAATATAAGTTGATACGGAACACACGCTACGAAAACGCGTTCCCGGATAATGTATGTGGGGGTTTGCTAGGTTACTCCGCGTGGTTGCCCTCGGGTGGACTCTCTCGGGTGCATCCTGTCATGACCAGTGCTGCACAAAGGCGGAACGGCGAGAACTTGCTGCCCGCGCAGACGCGGTGACTGTATCGGGGCAAGAGGCGGTGATGGCCGTCCAACCATGCTCCATGTGTCATGATTCGATCCAAGCACGCTGAACAGTACAATGTGACAGCTGAGGGGCGTCCTCTAACGTCCATCCTAAAACCAGCAGGTTCTGAGGATGAGGTTAGGTGTTGGTTGTCCAATTAAATGGGTTCTGATATGGACGGTTTTGCCAAAGAAGTTTTGCAGACCGAATGTTTGACTTCACAACAACGTGCAACACATGCGAATTGAAGACTCCCTACATCGACTACGTGGTTTCATGCCTTTCTAGGAAAAGAAAGCATTTACAAAACACGGTTCGCCATCACCTCGTTGAAACAAATGCAACCTTGCCAGCCTTTGCCAATGGCACGCACCCTCGCCTCTTGGCACTTTCTGCCCCGCCTCAAAGTGGCAGTGGTGTGGGCTGGTTGAATGGGGTGCTAGAAATGGCTGCCCGTTGGTTTTGGGGGACCCTACCAGATCCGAGTCATTAGCCCCGTTCATCCTGCCACTTTGGGGGTGCTTTTATAACATGCAATGAGAATTCATTGTTCTGGACGATGTCGAGATCGAGTGTGTCAGATTAGTAGTTTTCTTTAAGTTCTCCCTGTCGCACCGAGGATCAAATATTTTCTGCTAACTAGAAAATGATTGGGCTGTCGGGGTGTAGGGGAGAAGCTGGGGAACGGCGCATCAGTTTCTCTATTCTGGGCTTTTTTATGTGGGAAGTTCCTGCATGCAAACTTAATCAAAATAATAGAGTACAGTACATGAAGACCACATTATGTACTAGAGTGTTTGAGTGATTAAGTTTGATCTCATTAGTTCCTTGAGTGTTTACACAGAGCAAATAATTGAGGGGTCTCAAACACGGAATTTCATGCACTAACAGGGTGTACATCGGAAATCTCCGGAACATCCGTGCAGCAACAGCTGAATATGAATCGAAAACTAGAATAGGGTAACACGCCTTGAATATTTTTTTACCATGCTAGCTTCTCGGCATTGGCTTGTGGGAGCTTCACGTCGGGGAACGGGGAAGTGGCGTCTGTGATTTGGACATTGTGGATTGGTTGGTACCACCTGCGTTTTTATGTACAGTACACAAAGACTTGGTGGAGTGGCAGCCATGAAGACCACATTGCATCAAACCATACCCGCTAGGGCCATGATGTTCACACTAATGGATGTAATACACTTTTAAGATACTTATTAAAATACTCTCACGTGAGTTTTGGGGAAAAAGTTGTGGGTGGGAGGGGGTGGTGGGGAGGGGGTGGGGCGGTGATCAAAGGCTAACTAAGGAGCACTATTGCACATTACCACATGCTTCAAGGTGGAACTCGTATAAATGGCTGTGTTGTATGCTAAGAATACCATATCTTACATAATAGCATTCATTCTTACCCTTCACATCTACACGGTTGTGGAATGCAACTCGGCCTCTTTGCTCTTTATAGACTTAACGTAATACCCAACCTCAACGTACTCGCGAAGCCGGTGGTAGTGTCTGAGATTAGGAAAACAAATTCACTCGAAGAGAATGAGGCACCTTAAACGTTGACGTGCTTATTGATGACACCAGCAATTGCCATGGA